CAGGGACAAGCTACTGTTTACCTTTTCCACACACAACTTGAAATTCTGGGGTGGTGGGGAGGAGGAGGAGGAGGAGGAAGAGGAGGAGGAAGAAGAGGAAGAAGAGGAAGATGAAGAAGAGGAAGAGGAAGAAGAAGAAGAAGAAGAAGAAGAAGAAGAAGAAGAAGAAGAAGAAGAAGAAGAAGAAGAAGAAGAAGAAGAGGAAGAAGAGGAAGAAGAGGAAGAAGAGGAAGAAGAGGAAGAAGAGGAAGAAGAAGAAGAAGAAGAAGAAGAAGAAGAAGAAGAAGAAGAAGAAGAAGAAGAAGAAGAAGAAGAAGAAGAAGAAGAAGAAGAAGAAGAGAAAGAAAAAAGAAAAAGAAAAAAAGAATGTATATTGTAAAGTGATTGTCAGAAGCTTTGCTTTTACTTTCCTTCACGAGTTTCCAAAAAGAAGTGGAGTGCTGCCCTCTAGTGCTGGATATTGAAATGGCCCAACTATAACCGTGCTGGCTTTGGGCAATAGATAAGGACAATGTTACACTGTTTTAAACTATTCTTTTTGGAACTGTTCAAATGACACTGTTCCTGGAAACCACATTAAGCCTACTTCCTTAGTTATCTTTTCATTTACAAGCATTTTATACCAAATCACAGAATTTTAGGACAGATGACCCCCTAAAAAACACATCATAATGTGGTCAGATAAAGCTCCAGACATTGCTTTAGAATCAAGACACTGTATTTGCGGTGCATTTAGGGAGAAACAGGGCTAGGAGAGGAACATGTCTTCTGATTTTAAGGTCTCTACCTTTCCCATTGTTTTTGGTCATTTAGAGTGTCTTCATCTGTTTCCTTTGAAGCTAAATCCACTTCTGAGTTTTTTGGAGTGGGGATAATACATGCGCCTAGATGTTGAGAGAATAGTAGAATTGTCTTCCTAAGATACCTTAAAAAAAGACAACACAGACATAGAAAGGCCTCTTAACATTTACATTTCAACAAGTACGTATTTTATCTTGCTTCCTTTTAAATTGCTTTGAAAATCTGCAGATTATCATAGAGAGCTCTAGGTACTTTTAAAAATCATGTTTTCTGCTTTCTTTTCCATTTTAAAAACACTTCAGAGTACAAGCTTGCAAGAAGCCAAGTGGACAGACTTCAAAGAGACTTAGCTTACAGCAGGACCAAATCTTCCACAGTTCTCAGTTGTGCTGACATTTTGTTAGACAAAAGTCTCATCAGCTTTAAGTAAGGTCCATACACATGGGTGCCCAAGGGCCAAGATTAACTTCAGAGGCAGTCTGCTCCAGGCCTCACCTTGCATGCCCTTTTATGAGACAGGAAGTGGCAAGATCCCTTTGGTCCAATCCGTGTGTGTGTGTGTGTGTGTGTGTGTGTGTGTGTGTGTGTGTAGTGGGGAGGGCTGAGAGAGGAGTCACACATCATAAAGGAGGTAAACACAGAGGGAAGACCAGTAGGAAGATGGGACTCCACCAAAGTTGACTCAGGACACAAGTTAATTTAGGATTTAGGGTGAAAAGTTGGTGAATGTAAGAGAATCACCATTAGAGAGGAAGAACAGCATCAGCCTCTCCTACTTCCCCCACTCCTTACTGCCTCCTTTGGGGAATCTGTGCTTATTTTATTATTCAACTTTCAACCCCATCTTTAATTTTCTTTGTGTGTGCTGGTACTGGGACTACAGTTCAGGCCGAGGCTATGCCCTTAGCTTTCTGGCTCAAGGCTGGCACTCTTACCACTTGAGCCATAGTTCCACTTCAGGGCTTTCTGGTGGTTTACTGGAGATAAGAGTCTTGTGGACTTTCCTGCCTGGGCTGGCTTTGAAGCATGATCCTCAGATCTCAGCCTCTGAGTGGCTAGGATTACAGGCATGAGGGGCTGGCACCTGGCAACAGCTTTGTTGGTTTGTTTTTAAACATATGTGCAACACACAACACAGCTTATAATTAGTACCCTACCCTTAGTGACAGCATTTTCTTAAACAGAACCACCCTAAAGCATTTTGTGTTTGAGTGCATTGGGGGATACTCTTCCCTTTCCTGACTTGTTCCTAAGTTTAGACTTGGGTACTCAGAGGGCAAGACTGAGTAAAATAAGCTTAGAAGTCCCAGCAATCCTCACTTTGGCACTGGGCATTACTGCCTAGCCTTGGATGTTCCAGCATTTCAAGAGAGCATATTTTAAATTTATTCCAGATAGAGCTGTTGCTGTAGGAACTTCCTGTTCCTGTTTTCAAGTTCTTCTGAATAAAAAAGAGGGGAAAGATTCAGGAGGAAGATGCATGCATGGTCACAATGCAGTCAGGAGTGAGAGAATTCCAGCCCATTTCTCTTCTGACCCTGCCTGCCCTTTCCTGACTCTTTACCTGGCAGCCTCCTCGTCTTCAGTGTTCTGCTCCTAAGAATCTTTTGCTGGAATTATCTCCTCAGCAAGGAGCCAGCATTGAGTCAATTCAAAGTGTTAAAATTAGCAATGACCTGGAAGGCATTTTGTTTATTTCAAGACTGGTATTTCGCTGAGGAGGGGGGCAGCCTACAGGCTCAAGCAGAATGTACTGAACTAACGTAATCTTCAAGAACCTCACATCCTCCCCCCAAAAAAAGGAAGAAAGAAAAAATGAAATAAAAGAAAAAATGGAAATGATAGGTTTCCTTCCCTATCCTCAGTAACTGCTTTTCCTATATTCAAAGCAGATATTATGGCACTATGAAGGAAAACTGCTTATGACATTTTCTTTGTCCCTATCAGCCTTTGGCTTGATTATGGAACTGCTTAGGTTGGTCCATAAATATTTATTTGTTCTTAGACAAGTTGATAGTGTTTAGGTAACCTAGGCTTGTTTTTCTCCCTGGGAATGACGCAGGAAGTGACCATGATTTTGTTGGCCAACACTGTGAATCAAATATTGGGAAGGCTGGGCTGTGGAACACCCATCTCAACAGTGGCCCCTGCCACTGCTTTGCGAAGCACTGAGAGTTCCTTGTGATTTGACCTTCAGTGTTAACTTGCAATTTTTGGAGAAGACTGTTGTCAGTGAAACATTTTTTAAGCAGTATGTCTGAACAGAAGTAGATGATACAGAAGGTCCACAGGTGTTACACCAAATTCCTTGGGTTTTTATTACTTTGGACTGAAAATGACTTTTAAGCTTTGTTGTATAACCCAAAGGAGGCCATGATACTGTTTTCTTAGGAGACAACTGAAGAAGGAAGTGCCTCTTTTCTGCATATCTTGAGTATTTAGTAAGTGCAAGACACTGAGGAAGGAATATAAAGGGGTGGATCTCTGCGGTCAAGAAGCCAGGCCCTGGTGGCTCACACCTGTAATCCCAGCTTCTCAGGAGACTGAGATCAGAGGATTGAGATTCAATGCCAGGAGAGGCAGAAAAGTCCAAGGGACTCTTGACTTAACCAGCAAATAGCCAGGAGTGGAGTTATGGCTGAAATGAGTACCAGCTGTGAGTGAAGAAGCCAAGTGGGATTGAGAAACCCTGATTTCAAGTCCAGTACTGGTGGTATACATGTGTGAGCACACACAGACACAGACACACACACAAGCATGGCATCTACCAGGGGTGTGGTGGCATGGAGGAGGGGAGACAATAGCCAACCTATAGGGAACATTTAATATAGGCAACTACACAGTTACATAACCCCACAACAACCCTGAGGAAAATACTATTTCTTCACGGTAGAGCAGGATCAGACCTGCCCTTCATAGTGAGTGGCAGCCAGAATCTAAACCTAGGTAGTGTGGCTCCGAAGCCAGGCTCCTCCACACAAAGACACTTTCTAAAACTGTAATAGGACCAACAGGTACAGAAGCAACAGGAGAGTGATTTCAACTAGAGTGAGGGTTAAGGGAAAGCCTTAAAGAGGATTGTCGTTTGCTTGCTTTAGATCTTCAAGGTCAACAGATGGAGGGAAGTCAGGGGGAGGGAGGGTAGACAGATGAAGAGAGGAGGGGGGTGGAGCATGTAGTCATAATATTCTATGTGTGTGTGGAAAATGAAACTAAGGAAAATTGAGGGGTTGGAATGAGGGAGAACGATGGAAGGGGTGACACTGATCAAGATGCATTGCGCTAAAAAACTGAGGTTGGATTGTAAACCCTTTGTACAGCTACTGAAAGACTACAATTATTATTATTATTATTAAATCAACAGGTGGAGACGGGGTCTGGGGAGGAAGGAGTATCAGGGGAAGGAACGGCCTGACAAAAAGAAGAGGCAGTTTGGATTGCAGCCAAGGTATGACAGACAAGCCTACGGTCTCGGTCTCGCCGGGTACATGCGTGGGAGGAAGCTGCGGCAGCCGTAGGCCGGGCCCAGGATCTGCAGGTCCAGGAGGGTGCGGTCTCCTCCCTGCAGGAGCCTGGGGTGCAAGATCTTCGGACCCGAAGCAGGCTGGAGTTCGCGGTGCAGCTCTCACATTTACGTAGGATCTCCCCGGCCTGGGACCCAGGCAGGCATCGCCCCCACATCTCCTGGGGAAACGCTCGGCCTAAGGGGCCCGAGGGGCCCGCACAGCCCGCGCACGAACGCCGGGAGTTCGGCGGCCGGCCTCCGGTTCGCAGCGTGCGCGCGTGCCGGGCCTTGGCAGCGGGAACACCGGCGTGGCTGGCACGGCAACGCTCAGCTCCCAAATTCACGAGATCCACGTCCCTGGAGCCCCGCGACCTTTCCCAGAGGTCAAGGAGGCTGCCCTCTAGAGAGGGCGGCTGCTTGGATCTCCCTCTCAGCCCCCAAGGAATAAAAGTCTCGGCGATTGGGGCACGCTCTGCCCATCAATCTTAGTTCCCGCCCACATCACGGCCGGCGCAAATCCTATTGGTTCCATCATTACCAGCTCGGATAAGATTCTGTTCTTTGATTGGCTCATAGGACCTCATCGTTTAGGTCCCTTCTTGTCAGAAGCTGGTGATTGGCGGGCCGCGTTGCCAAGCTCTGGACGCGGGCCGACCATTGGAGGCCGCGGGCCTGCCTCCGCCCGCTAGGTGAAGGTGAGCGTCTCCTCCGGATAGGCGAGCCCAGATCCCACTGCACCGGCAGCCTCAGGTTTCGGCAGGTTTCTGCTCTGTCGTAATGGCTCCTCCATCAGTCTTTGCTGAGGTTCCTCAGGCCCAGCCAGTCTTGGTTTTTAAACTCACTGCCGACTTCCGGGAGGATCCAGACCCCCGCAAGGTCAACTTGGGAGTGGGAGGTAAGGATGCCCAGCGCTGGAATGCGAGCGCGCGGGGCAGACCTAGTCCTGGCTTGGGGGGGGGGGGGGAGGTGGGCTCTGGGCTGCCTGGCTCGGGGGGGCGGGGGGACAGGACCCCCTCATTCACAGCCTGGCATATGGACCCCATGAGGAGGAAGATGCGTCCAAGGTCACGAGGAAAGGGGTAGCAGACACAGGACTCGCAGCCCTCCTTTATGCCACATCCTCCTGAGCCATGCGGAGGCCTGGGATTAGATGGAGGGAAACTGGAAACCTGGGAGGCTTGGAGTCGTATTAGGTGGGAAGCGGGAAAGGAGACCAGTTAGCCCTCGGGAGGGCGCTCTGGTGTGGGTCGGTCAGTATTTGAATGACCACTAGCTATCAACGCTCTGGGGAAGACTGAAGCTTGGTTTTGTCCTCAAGGATTTAAATATCAGCAGGTACAGCGATTAGAAATGCTTCCGTGTCCCCCCCCCCCCCCCCTCAAATCTGGGAAGATGCTTCTGGCAGGAACGGGCAGGTATCGTAGAATGGAGGTCACTGCCCACACATCTTTTGTCTTCATTTCTTATTTGTATTTCTTCAGCCTTGGGACAAGCTCAGAGCATGGGCTGCCCAGTTTACTTCTCTGCCAAGAGGAACATTTGAATTAAGAAGTCTTCGAAATTCCTTTTCATTCTAACTTCCTCTGGTGGATTTGTTATTTCTATTACAGCAACCACGAGGAGGTTTGAAGTCCCACAGACACTTTCTTGCCACATACACAGGCCGCCTTGGGAGATGAAAATGAATAGATGATGTCCTGTGCTAAGGGAACAGGATTAGAATAAAAAGACTAGAAATTTTAGAAAGAAGAAATGGAATTATTTTGTAGCACAGATGACATGCAGAGGATTCAGAATCAGCATTCCTGTAGAAAATGTTTGTCTCTGTCTATAGTGCTTGACACACACACACACACACACACACACACACACACACACACACACACACACACACATACAGACAGACAAAAATCTTTACCATTTGACATCTAGGGTAAGGGAAAGAACAGAAAAATGATTAAAAAGTGGTAGTTTATAAGAGCTTGGTAATGCTTGGACATAAATGATAATATTTACCCAACTTTTGTGATTGTTTGAAATTCTTAATAATGAAGTATTTTAAAAACAAAAAAAAACAAGTCATTGCTGTATTGTGTTGCCCCTGGAAGGAATATGATGTTTTGGCAGGCAGCAGAGTGGGAGAAATATTGAAAGATTGTCTTGAATTGGGATGGACACCATTTAGGGTCTGAATTTAAGGTCAATCCATAATCTCCAAGAATTTAATTATGGCCAGTTTATACTGAAGAACTAATATCAATCTGAATATATATCTTTATAAGACCTCTGATTTTAGCCAGGTACTGGTGGCTCATGCCTAATGCTAGCTACGAAGGAGGGGAGGGTGAGATCTGAGGATTGCGGTTCAAAGCCAGCCTTGGAAGGAAAGTCCATGACACTTACCTCCAACAAACCACCAGAAAATGGGAAGTGGTGCTGTGACTCAAGCTGTAGAATGGAGTGCTCACCTTGAGCTAAAGTGCTGAGGGACAGCGCCCAGGCCCAGAGTTCAAGCCCCATGACCAGCAAAAAACAAAAAACAAAACAAAACAAAAAACCTCTGATTTTATTGGCTCCCCCACCTTCCAGTCATCTGCTATGGTTTTGATGAGGATTCAGAGGCATTTACAGTAGTCTGGCACATAAGTAGTGTTAACTTTCTGTGGCTATGTTGACATTTCTTTGAGTGGTTGATTCTGAGAGATCGTGAATAAAAATTTTCAGCTCAAGAACTGAGAAATGACACTGGCTCAGAAGTAGACTGTTCACGCAGAGGAAAAGTTCCCTGCCAGACCAGAAGTGACTGATCCAGAATCATACTGTTTAAAGTTCAGATGGCATCTCAACTGTGAGGTGCCTTTATCATGCCTTCCTAGAACCCAAGAACACAAGAAAATGAATAGTGCATGTAATCTTGTGATTTTTCTCACAGCAACTCTGGAAGGTTCTTAACTGTTTCCATGTAGAAATAAGGAAGCTGAAGCCTAGACAGAAGGATACAGTTTGCCCCAGAACATAAGACCAGTATGTGGGAGAGCTGAGATCCTAGATAGGTCTCTTAGGCCACTCTATTTTAGTTACTTTTCGAGGGTCTGGGGCAGCCAGTGCATCGCAGTGGGGCAGAGAGGAGACCTTAGTATAGGCCCAGCACAGTAGTTATTTAACATCTTTGAGACTTAAGTCTGTAAAATGAGCTAGGACTGAAGGATGACCTTCAGAATCTTGCAAGATTCTATGCTACCAAAAGTAGTCTCTGAGATTTGCTAGCACCTTCCATGACTAGTCTAGGATAATAATTTCATTGGCCCTATTAGTTGAATAAGAAATAAAGTTATATGTGATATGTAAATCAAAAGTGTTATATGTATTAGTTGTTGTGATACTGGAAATGTTTTTTAAAAAACGTTTTATTTTGGTTGTGAAGGTCATGTACAGAGGGGTTATAGTTACATAGAGCAGATATTGAGTACATTTCTTTTTGAACAGTGTTCACCGTTTGTCCCACCATTTCTGTGCTTCCCCTCACCATCCCCCAAACAGATAAACTTACATACAGGACAAAAAGGACAGAAGTCAAAAAGGGGAAAAACAAAACAGAAAAAAACCCACAAAAGGAAAATCAAAAAACCTCTTTCCATTTCTTGGCATTCATTTTGATAAACATTTTATATGATGATAAGCACATGGCTAGTGAGCCTTTATAAGCCTCGCCTAAGAATAGCCTCTTTTGAAGCCAGGGCTGTGAACAGGATGCTAGTCAAGTGCTCTACCATTTGAGCCACACCACAGCTCTTTTTTTTCTTTCTGTTTTGAGAGAGAATCAACTTTGTTCTGCTAGTCTAGAACTGGCAATCTTCCTGCTTCCACAGTAGTTGGAATTACAAGTATGCACCACCACACTGGGTGTTTTGGGTTGTTTTTTTGTGCTAGAACTGGGGCTTGAACTCAGTTTTTGTGCTCACGGTTGGTGCTGTTTTGTTTGAATCAGCCTCCAGACTGACTGGCATTTTACTGATTAATTAGAGATAAAGTGTTGAGAAATTTCCCCAGGTTTGGCCTCGCATGGAGATTCTCAGATCTCAGCCTTCTGATAGTTTGGATTAGAGACATGAGGTAACCTGTACCCAGTTTGTGTAAATGTTTTTGCTCATTATAGTGACCCACCGTTTTGTGGATGGTAGGTGCTTAAATAAGATCTAGTTAATGTACAGTAGAATAAAAGGTCTCTTCCCTGCTTTTGAATGTCCCAGCCTTAGTTATACACAATCCAAAGTATAATGTTTGTGAAGGAAATGTCATTGATTACTAACTTTGGGTAGAATGCTTTCCTCCTCCTCTCTAATTCCAAGTTAAGCTCACACTTAATGGAGATTTTTCCAGCTCAGTTTATAGTGATGTTGGACATTTTAGAATGAACTACATCTGTAATCTCATTAGCCAGTTCCTTTTTATAGACAGTTTTCCTAGAGACTTTGTTCCTGTGGTGAGTTTACGAGTTTCGCTATAGTTAGATAGAGCAAGCTGTCACTCTGTACAAGCATGACCCTTTCCTAGCTGATGGTTTTCGTGTTTTTCAAAGCATCAGACTGAAAGAAGATCTAAGAGGAATGAGTCCAATCTGATGCAGGCTGCCACAGAAATTTCTTTTCTTTTCTTTTTTTTTTTTGGGTCCGGTCGTGGGCCTGAACTCTGGGCCTGGGCGCTGTCCCTCAGCTCTTCAGCTCAAGACTAGTGCTCTACCACTTGAGCCACAGTGCCACTTCCGGCTTTTTTTTTCTGCTTATATGGTGCTGAGGAATCGAACCCAGGGCCTCAGGCATGCAAGGCAAACGCTCTACCACTGAGCCACCTTCCCAGCCCCTAGAAATTTCTTCAATACTACAGTCCATTTTTCCCCCCATGTTCATCCAGCCTTTTGGTCTAGATAACTGTACTTGCATTAATTGTTGCTTTCAATGTAATTTGTTAGCATCTTCAAATGAAGTCATTGGGAAGGTATACTATATTAGGTGTTTTTGAGACCCTGACTTTCCCCGTCTTAGCTGAAGGATCTTAGAGGCATACCCTCAGTGGGATTGGGTAAGAGAAGTGTAAATTTTAGGAGGAAGATGAGGGAGGTTGGTGGATCATTGAGTCTCTGTGTGTTTTTTCTTTCCTTCTATAAAACAAGACTGTAGGACCTACCTGTAACCTATGTGATTCCTTAAAAAGGACTCCTCTAGAAAGGGCGGTGGCCCATGGAACTGGGGAGCATGCTGCTAAGAAGGCCCTTGTTATAGCCCCTTAGGGCTTGCTTCAGGTTTTCCCTCTCTAACCATTTCTTGCTTTAGTGCTTTTTGTGGTTCCCTATTACTATGGGAGATTATTAGAAGAGACTCCAAGGGCTGGGTATGTGGCTTAGTTGTAGAGTGCTTGCCAAGCATGCATGAAGCCTTGAGTTCGATTCCTCAGTACTACATACACAGAAAAAGCCAGAAGTAGCACTGGGGCTCAAGTGGTAGAATGCTAGCCTTGAGCAAAAGAAGCTCAGGTACAGTGCCCAGGCCCTGAGTTCAAGCCCCAGGACTGGCAAAAAAAAAGAGAGAGAGAGAAGGAGAGAGAGAGTGAGGGAGAGAGAAAGAGAGAGAGAGAGAGACTCCAAGACTCTGAGCCACTATGAGAAATAGATACTCAGACTTGTAATACTAGCTACTCAGAGGCTAAGAGCTGAGAATCATAGTTTAAAGCCAGCCCGGACAAGAAAGCCCATGAGACTCTGATCTCCAATTTACCATCAGAAGACCAGAAGTAGAGCTGTGGCTCAAAGTGGTAGTAAAGCACAAGCCTTGAGCAGAAAAAGCTCAGAGACAGTGCCCAGGTCTTGAGTTCAAGCCCCAACCAGCAAAAACAAACAAACAAAAAGAAATGGATCCTCAAAACCCTTGTCCTTCCAGCCTGGGGAACTTGTGCAGGTGTTCTTTTGTTTTGAATACATTCTTCCCCTGTCTCCTGTTTTGGTTTGAATCCAAGGTGTTCCCTCATAGTCCTGGTTGGGGCCCAGTTACCAGCTAATGGGCCTTTGGGAAGTAATTGGATCCTGAAGGCTGTGAGCCAAGCAATCCATTCATGGAGTTATATGACAGCGTTATTGAGAGGTGGTGGAAAGAGGTGTGGAGCCTAGTTGGACAGATTGGTCATTGTGATGTACGCTGGAAAGACATTTTCCCCTGCTCCTCTCTCTGCTTCTTGGTCAGCATGAGGTGAGCAGCTTCCTCTATGATGCTTTGATTACTGTATTCTTACTTCTGGCCCCAAGCAATGGAGCCACACAGGTGACCATTCTTTTGTAATCATTCTTCATGAATATCATCCAATTTTTTTACCCACTGTCACCACTGAAGATGATACAAGTACCATTTTCCAAAATTAAATTGATTTTTTTTTTCCCCCCCGGTTGTGGGGCTTGAACTCTGGGCTTGGTCCCTCAGCTCTTCAGCTCAAGGCTAGCACTCTACCACTTGAGCCACAGCGCCACTTCCTGCTTTTTCTGCTCGTGTGGTGCTGAGGAATCAAACCCAGGGTCTCATGCATGCAAAGCAAACACTCTATCACTGAGTCACCCTCCCAGCCCCTAAATTGACTTTTAAAGGGCAAAGATTTGGTGTTATTGGGGATTTAGAGATGTTTTCTCTAAAAAACAATCTTTCCACCCTACAAGAGTTCCCAAGAATACACTTAGCAATGTTAGTTAGCATTTTGATCAGTTAGGGTGATGTCCCTGAGGGATAGCTCTTGTTTTGAAATTGTTATTTTGGTATGTGATAAAGAAAGATCAAATCCTACCACCTTTGAGTTGGAGTTAATTTGGTGGGACAGGGTGGGGGTGGGGGCGCCAGTAAAATGGGACTGGGAATGAAAGATTCTTGAGGTAGATTCACCAGCTCAGAGTCTGGGTGGGTTAGTGGCTGTGTCAGTCTGGAGCTTTGCCTATGTTTTTATTATTAGCTTGATACATTTCTCAGATTTGCAGAGGTCACATTCTTGGAGTGTAAAGTTGGCTGATAGAATAGAAGACAGATAGGAAATTTAAAATAGTCCTAAAGTCTTCAATTTGCTGCATACCTTTTGGCGTAGTCATTTCACATTTAGGTGTATTTTCTATGTGAATAACTCATGTAGAGATGTAAAAGCAGTTGTCACAGTATTTACAATTGCAAGTAATTCAAAACAACATTATTAATAAACTATACATACAAAAAGATATTATATGGCTAGTCAAGTGCAGTTGGAAATAGATCTATCTATCTATCTATCTATATGAAAATGCTAATTTCATTAATACAAAGAGAAGCAAATCAAAACTAGCTTGAGATACCATTTTGACCTTCATACTAGTAAACACACCTTCAGTGGGCAGGGCGAGGAGAAGTAGGCACCCTTTATGGTGTTAATCAGAAATATAATCCCTATGGTAAATTATGATCTATCCAAACTACAGTTGACATCTTAGCCAGTTCTTAGCCTGTGTCTTTGCTGTGTTTGCATCCATGGGAGATATACCAAGTGGCTCACTGAGGTATTGCTTTAATAGCCAACAATCATAAGCCACACAGATGTCCAGTAAGTGATTGACAAAATAAAATATGCTTCATACTTTAAGCAACTGTGAAAAAGAACAGAGACTATCTATGCACGATATGAAAAGATCTTCAAATGGAAAAAAGCAAGGAACAAGACAGGTGCCAGTGGCCCATCCCATGCTGTAACCTTATCTACTCAGGAGGTTTGAGATCTGAGGATTGTGGTTCGAAGCCAGCCTAGGCAAGGAAAGTCTATGAGACTCTTACCTCCAGTTAACCACTAAAAAGCTGGAAGTAGCTCAAGTGGTAGAGTACCAGCTTTGAATGAAAAAGCTAAGGGACTGTGCCCAGGCCCTACATTCAAGCACTGTACATACACACACACACACACACACACACACGCACACATGCACGCACACACGCACGCACACACGCACGCACACACACACACATGCAAGCAAGGAACAAAACATCACAATGTGTTATGCACTATCAAATATCAGAAGCTGTATTTGCTTATGTATGCACACAGAAACTCTGGTAAGATATATTAGAAACTAGCAACAGTTGTTATTTGTGAAGTGAAGGACTTGAAAAGTAGTAAGAAAAGGATGTCAGGAATATAGTATTCATAATAAATCTGTAAGTGGAAAAAGGATGTTGAAAACCCTATGTACAGCATGATCCATATTTTATAAATAAATGTCTATATAAAGCTTGGCAGGTTATACATTTACATTTTTATATCCCTTGTATCAGAGTGCTGATTGTATGTTAATTATAATGTTTGTTATTTCCTTTTGGGGCTTTTCTAAACTTTCTATGATTAATATGTATTGCTTATGCAGCAATAAATACTACCCTAAAACATGATTTTCTTTGTAAATTAGGGATATAGGTTGGGTAGAGATGAGTAAAGTTGAAAGTGACTATAAAATCTTGTGTCTGTTTCAGAGTCACCTGCATAGGTATAGGATTGTTGGCGGCTTACACATTTGAGCCTCCGGGCAACATGACCAGTCAGGAATCCTACTAGAGAGATTATTGACCTGGGTGCAAGGCCAGAGCAGCTGTTTTTCGAATGTTACCAATGAGTAGTATAGGGGGCAAAAAAAATCTGTGCCAGGTTAAGGTAGAGTAGTCTAAAAATACATTTAATGTGGAAGAGATGCTTAAACTATTTTTTTCTATAAAGCAAGATTAAGTATTATGAAATGGAAATTTTGATCCATGAAAGGGTGAGGTGGAGGAAGTGAGTGAACCATTTCACAGGTAAACACTGGCCTGTGTCAAAATCCAAAGGAAGGACAAAGATGTGTTTGAAGTGGGCCATATGTGACAGCAACCAGGGACTGGACTCCAGCCCCAGGACATCAGCACACTGTCCTGTTCTGCTTTTTGTAGGACAGGAGGTAGAGGTGGATCTTCTCCCACTCCCCTTTCTCCATGTTTATATTTGAAGGTACAGTGTTCTTGTGAAGTAGAACCTAGGCCTTTCTGGAACTCTCTTGGAGACAAAAGGGGGAAGATGACTAGCATTCATTCACAGATGCTTTCCCTTCCACTCTCCCACTTGATCAGGCTCTGGGATATCTCAGTTGTACTTTTGCATTGCTATTTGGAGGTCACACAGTTAAGAGCAGTAAGTCCCATAAGGAGAGAAACCGTGTCCGTCCAGTTTGCTCAGCACCTAGCCCTGACCTGTACCCAGACCTCTACTGAAAGGTACTCAGCTCTCCTTTGATTTCCATCACTGTTCTGTTTTGACCGGAACATGCTGGGATTCTCCCTGTTCCCAGTTCTAGACTTTTGACTTGGAAGAAGCCTGAGACTCTTCTGTCTCTCTTTTCTGTGCTCAGCGTATCGCACAGATGATTGCCAGCCCTGGGTTTTGCCGGTAGTGAGGAAGGTGGAACAGAAGATTGCTAATGACAATACCCTCAACCACGAGTATCTGCCCATCCTGGGCTTGGCAGAGTTCCGGACCTGTGCCTCTCGTCTTGCCCTTGGAGATGACAGCCCAGCTCTTAAGGAGAAGCGGGTGAGTTTGGGATGAGATGTTTTCTTTTCAGAAACTGTAAAAGTATTGGAAGGTTGAGGTAGCAGGATCACAAATTTGAAGCAAGCTTCAACAGACAAACCAAACCAAACAACAATTGAATAAACAGAAACAACAGCATTAAGGAATCAAGAAAGTAAAAAAAAAAGGTTGAAATTGTTTTGATATGTAGTAGAAAGACCACTGCCATATTCAAAGCATAACTTTTTCACTGGGTAAGTTCTGTCCAAATCTGAGATCATCAGATTTCAGCTGCAGAGTTTAAAATGTCAAGCGAAGAGAAGTGAATGCAATCATAAGTGAGTAGGGCCTACACCTGTCTCTGGTCTTTTGACCATAGGCAGGTGATTTGTCCAGCTCCCCCACTCCCTTTATCTATATGTTAGAAAAAGACTCATTTGTGGGCTGGGAAGGTGGCTCAGTGGTAGAGTGCTTGCCTTGCATGCTCGAGGCCCTGGGTTCGATTCCTCAGCACCACATAAGCAAAAAGAAAAAAGCCGGAAGTGGCGCTGTGGCTTAAGTGGTAGAGCGCTAGCCTTGAGCTGAAGAGCTGAGGGACAGCGCCCAGGCCCAGAGTTCAGGCCCCACGACCGGGCCCAAAAATAAATAAATAAATAAAATAAGACTCATTTGTACTCCTGGTTCTATAAGAAGTGCTTGCATAGGTGACCATTTAGGGAATCTTTCCTGAAATTACATGAAGAATTTTATGTGTACCTATTTCTGGGGAAAAGTTTTCATAGGTCTTACTAGATTTTCAAAAGGTGTTTGTGGTTCCCAGAGTTAAAAGAGTCCCTAGTCTGGATGCTCTCTGAAATCCCAGCCACGTCTAATATTCTGTAATACTTCTGGCCTTGATCTCAGCACCTTTCATTGACATGCTTGTGTGGTAACTAGAGACACATGGGAGAACATGTTTGAAAGTAGACAGTGGCCAGGCGCCGGTGGCTTATGCCTGTAACCTAGCTACTCAGAAGGCTGAGATCTGAGGATTGAGGTTCAGAGCCAGCCCACACAGGAAAGACTGTGAGACTCTTATCTCCAATAAACCACCAGAAAACCGGAAGTGGCGCTGTGGCTCAAGTGATAGAGTGATAGCCTTGAGCGGAAAAGCTGAGGGACAGCGCCCAGGCCCAGAGTTCAAGCCCCATAACCGACCAAAAAAAAAAGAGAGAAAGTAGACAGCTAGGAGACTGTATGTGGCAGGAAGTGGTATGGACAGATAAATCCTTGGTGTGGTGGGAATTCAGAGGCTGGGGAAACCCACCAAGGCCACAGGTGAAACTTGAGCTGAACCCTAAAGAATGCAATGGACACAGGACACTGGATCTCAATTCCGGTTGTACATGAGGGCCACCTGGGGAGTTGGTTAAGTGGACCACATGGTGTCCCATGCAAACCCAGTGTAATTAGAATCTTGGAAATAGAACTGGCCCTATTCCCTTTCCACTTCTGTTCTCCCCTCCACCCTATGGGATTTTTTTTTTTTTTTGCCAGTCCTGGGGCTTGAACTCAGCGCCCAGTCACTGTCCCTGAGCTTTTGCTCAAGGCTAGCACTCTACCACTTGAGCCACAGTGCCACTTCTGGCTTTTTCTGTGTGTGTGGCACTGAGGAATCGAACCCAGGGCTTCATGCATGTTAGGCAAGCACTGTACCATTAAGGCACTTTCCCAGCCTGATGGGCATATTTTTTAAAAATGTTCCCCAGGTGATTCCAAACTAGAGCCAGTTTTGTGAACCACGAACGTGATGAAGGCAGAGGGGTGTTTCTCTTGAGTCAGGGGAGTCTAGGCACAGAGGCAGACATTAAGCACGTCTAGGTTATAAGGAGACCTAGAATGGAGTTGGGCATCTATTGCATAGGCTGCTTTTGGGAGCTCAGGCAAGAGAAGCTCACTGAGAGTTTGAGCCAGGGAATTACCCAACTGAAGTGTTGTTTCAGGAAGATAAACCTGGCTGGATGGGTAGGAAAGGGAAGAGCAGTAGTCCAGTAAGGTGTTGTATAATTGAAACCAGCTGCCCTCTTTGCAGTGAGCCTGTGGCTCCTGAGTTGAGGACCTCGAGTCATCTGAGGTGCCCTTCACATTCTGCTTACAACAGGTTTTCCTCTTGTGTATTATGTTACCCAGATGCCCTGATAAGCAGAGTGGGCAGGGTAAGGTAAAGGTTGGGATCCTGTGATCAGAAGCAGGTCTTGGCACTCAAGTCAATGGTTATATAATTGATTAATCAGTGTGTGAGTTGGTTTGCTAATACAAGACTGTGGCTTGCCTCTAGGAACAGAAGGCATGTGAAAGAATTGTTAGAGAGGGGGGATCAGATGGGAAAGTTGCTGCAAAAAATCAGTGCTGAGAGAAGTGGGAGGCAGGGGCAGAAAGGGAGGGAGAGAGGAAAGAGAAAGGGAAGGAGTGAAGGAGAGAAAGAGAGGTGGAGAGGAGAAGTGAGGGGAGAAGGAGAAAGAGAGGAAGACAATCTTAATGAATTTTTAAAGTGGAGAACTTTGTTGGATGCTGGTAGCTCATGCCTGTAATCTTAGCTACTCAGGAGGCTGTGGTCTGAGGATGGAGGTTTGAAGCCAGCCTGGGCAGAAAAGTCCATGAGACTCTTTATTTCTAATTAACCATCAAAAAAAAGCCAGAAGTGGACAGATGGCCCAAGTGGTAGAGAGCTAGCCTTGAGTAAAAAAGCCAAATAGGAGGGAAAAAAAAAAGCCCTGAGTTCAAACCCTAGTACTGTCACACACACACACAAAGGAAAAACAAAAAGGCAAAGGCAAAGGGAGAACTTTGGCAACTGCCTATCTTCCCATTCTGTTGACAAGTGAAGACAGATTCTATGTTGGACTGCTGCTTCCTCAAGACTATTTCTTACACAGTTACAATGTTGACAGACGCTATCCCTCTAACCCAGGGATCCCTGTTTTGACCTCTTCACACTGTAAGGCTGTTTCTTTTGGCCTTGACCTGGTAACACAACCATCTCTCTTAAACTACCTTTCATTCATTAGAAAGGGGAGGATTTCCTTGTTACATTTTCACACTTGTACATTTCAGTCTCATCCCCTCAATTGCCCATGCTTTCATACTTTTCCCTTTCCCAAAACAATTTCAACAGGTTTCAGTGTTCTGTCTGTGATGCATTTTTCGGTCACAGAAGAAACTTACCATCTTTGGGTGGTTATGCAAAGGGATTTCAATTCAGCATGTCAGTTTATAAGTACAATGCCTCTCAATCCATGTCACCCCTGTCATCATTGTTCCCATCTCTCCCAGCCTCAGCCATCCCCTCAATTTTCCTCAGTTCATTTTCAGTTATGTACATTCAATATGAAGACTGTATTCTCCCACCCTTCCTCTCTTCCCTCACCTGTCCCCCTCCTCTTGACCTAATCTGACACCCTAAGTTCTAGCTTCCTGGTATTAATTTTGTTAGATTGTAAGTTAGCTGTCCAGAGGAGTTATACCATAGGAACAGTACTTTAGCTTATGTGTTTGTGTGTATATGTATATGACCCTGGATATGTTTACATATATATTTATAAACTAGCTTCCACATATGAGAGAAAACATATGTCCTTTGTGTCTCTGGGCCTGCACAGAAAAAATTTAAATGTAGTCTTCGTGGCAGCAAATTATTTGAAGATCTTTTTTTGGGCTGGTTGGGGATACTCTTGGTATTTGCATCATCCTAGGTACCAGCTCCTCCTGAGCTCTGAGTCCTGTTCCCACAAATGTCCTCACCAGCCTCAGGCTACCGGCTTGGTTCAGCCCCTATTATCTTATGTAAATTCTTATAACATCTTCTTTGACCTTCTTACCTCGAGTCTCCTCCTCCTAGTACATTCTGTACTCTGCAGCTAGAAAGATCTTCCCTTAGGAAAAAAGCTAATTATGTCATCCCCACCTTACCTCTACAAGTAGCTCTCCCATGGCCTACAGGACAAACTCAGCCTTTGTGCTTAGTGTGGAGCTGCTGATCCCCACTCAGGGGTCCTGCCATTCTATGTGCCTTGTTTTCCAGGCTTACTAGATCCTAACTTAGGCCAGGTCACAGCCTTTGCCCAGCTCCTCCCTTTGCTTGGAATGTCCTCCCTTCCTCTGTAACTCCCCAGTCCATGGGTCCTTCTACACCTGATCAAAGGTCACTGCGGTTTAGATTCCTTAGTGCTGGCAGTGCTGGCCCTGGGCCTCTGAGTTATCACAGGACTTTGATCACAGCTTGGGAACAGCACTTACTGTGCTTACTCTGATCTCTAATTTTATAAGACTTTCTCTCCCACAAGTCTGTCATTCCCTTCAGCCTCCCCAGGGCAGGGGTCATGGCTTATTTACCTTGTAGTTGTTTAGCATTTAGCTCCTAACTTGGAACTTCCCAGATTCCTGGATGTTTGAGTTCATCATTCATTTACTTAGCAGATTTTGCCTGGAGAGTCAGATAACCAGCTAGATGCCAGAGCTCAGCACTTGTAGAAATCCTTACTCTATATCTTATGGAGACAGGTCAAACATAATCAATGGAAAAATGATATATATTTAATAATAAGTGGCAGATAAGGCAGGAAGGAGGCTATGTTAGAAGTGCTGGGAGTGGGAGTAATTTTACTTTTGCTTAAATTTTTTTTTTCACTTAACATTTTTATTTTGGGCCCATATTTGAACTTGAACTCAGAGCCTAGGCTCTGTCCCTTCACTCTTTTGTTGAAAGCTGGTGCTCACTTGAGCCACACCTCGCTCTGGCTTTTTGGAAGTTAATTGGAGATGAGTCTCATGGACTTTCCCATCTGGGCTGGCTTCAAGCAGTGATCCTCAGAGCTCAGCTCCTGAGTAGCTAGGATTACAGGCATGGGCCACTGGCATCTACCTTTGTGTTAAATGTTAAGTATAGTAGTCAGGACAGAAATAGAAATGGTAATTGAGCCAAAACTTGTAAATGAGGCATGCATAAAAGAATCAACGAACCAGAAAACAAACAGTAATTGTTTTTCCTTAGATTGTCTTGGTAAGATTTAACAGTACCAGATCCATTAAGCCATCTGGAGGAAACCTATTTTCTAGGCTCATTACTGCTTCTTATTTTCCATCCTCAGACTTTAGGATCTAGACAAAATGTTCACTCTTCATCTCCCAGATGGTAATGTTTCAGATTCTGAAATTACTGAGCCATTGTTGGGTATCCTGGCCATAGCTCCTCATCAGTAATGGCGTCCCAGTCTCTTGTTTTGGTCATTACTCCAGAAGACTGGAGCTTTTACCATGGGCTTCAGGTCTTTGTCACACCATGTTCTTTCTTCAGCCAGTTTAGCACGTTTGTGTGGGACTGAATGACAGATACTGTGAGAGTTGCTATGATACCCAGGCGAATGCAGTGTGGCCTTGACCCTGAGCAGTTCCTGGTCACCTCTCCTGCTCCTCCATGAAGTCGTGACACTGATGAATTCTGATCCCAGCTAAGGTTTTAGAGTCCATGTTAGCAATTCCACATTAACATGTAGTACTTAAAGAGATGCCCTGACCAGCTTTATACCAATGCTGACTGGTTCTCCCTTTTTTAGCCATCCAAGGTCCAGTTGACTGGCTGGGACTGAACTAGGGATTGAATTCAGGCTTGTGCTTGCTAGGTAGGGCCTCTTCCATTTGAGCCATACCTTCAAACCAAACATAGATCTTTTATTTATTTTTTATTATTAAAGTGAACAAAGATGAGAAGCAGCTAAGGAAAGTAGTATCTTTATATATTTATCATCTTATATATGAGGTATATATATATATAAAACACATTTCTGAAGATTCATAAACTGATTACCATGGACTGATGTCCAAGCATGCTAGAAACACTTGTATTCCAGGCCTCTGATGAGGGAAGTGTCCTGATCTTGAGATGAGTGGAAGGGTTTACCTTCCACATCATGCATTGACATGGCCTAGGTTAGAAGGAGGATGTGTGATGTTTGTTAATTTTATCTGATCTCACCATTTTCAGCCTGAGATTCTCCTTCTTCTCTTTCAGGTAGGAGGTGTGCAGTGTTTGGGGGGAACAGGTGCACTTCGAATTGGAGCGGAATTCTTAGCACGATGGTACAATGGATTGGATAACAAAGACACACCAGTCTACGTATCCTCTCCAACTTGGGGTGAGTCTTTTAGTTATGCAGAGAAGTGAGAAGGCAGACAGGATATCCTCATGGCACTCACTGCTTACCTAAAAAAACGTAATCCAGACCTGGGAGGACCGGCTTTGGGAGGGCCTTGAGAAGTGGTGGTAGGATATGTTTGGCATGAATGTAATTGGTTGAACTTGTTCTTGGTACCATTGTTCATTCATATCTTACCTATAGCCTCCATAACACCCTGTGGACGTGGAGCCTCAGGGTCCTGAAAGCTGGCTGTGTTCCTTTTAATTATTCCTACAAGTGTCTAAAAACACTTACTAGCATTTTGCCCCTTTTGCTTTCAGAGAACCATAACGCTGTATTTGCTGCTGCTGGTTTTCAAGACATTCGGACCTACCACTACTGGGACGCAGAGAAGCGAGGACTTGACCTTCAGGGTTTTCTTAATGATCTGGAGGTAGGTGAGTTAGAAGAAGTTGTAAAGAAAATTGTGCTGTCGGGAACAGCAGGGAATGTGTTTGGATCTCTGGAAAGTGAGCGTCTGAGACATCTTCCCCAAACCACATAATAGATTCTGAAATAGCTTGTGAGAGAGCGGCTGTACGAAAGAGATGTGAAAAGGTTAAGAACATGGTTTTCCTTTGCCCTTCATTGCTGATCTATGTGCTGCTCACTGTGTCTCTTGCTGTCACCCACGGGGACAGAGTTGACGTAGCCTCATTCTTTGTAGAGTGCTCCCGAGTTCTCCATCTTTGTCCTCCATGCCTGTGCACACAACCCAACTGGGACTGACCCCACCAAGGAGCAGTGGAAGCAGATTGCCTCCGTCATGAAGGTAACTCCACTTCTAGAGCATCTCTCGCACATAGCATGAAGTTGTTTCTTCATTTGTTTGTTTTTTTGGTGCCAGTCCTGGGGCTTGAAGTCAGGGCCTGGGCGCTGTCTCTGAGCTTTTGTGCTCAAGGCTAGTGATCTGCCATTTGAGCCATAATTTCATTTCTGGCTTTCCTGCTCGGGCTATCTTTGAACCTTGATCCTTAGATCTCAGCCTCCTTGAGTAGCTAGGTTATAGGCATGAGTCACTGGTAGCTGCATTCAAAAGCAAAACCTGCTTATTGAAGGATTTGGAAAATGGAGAAAAGCCTGAAGAAGAAAATAAATATGGATGTAAATCCTACCATCCAAACAAAGACATTGTTAGTGCTTTGGTGGATCGTGTTCAGCTGATGAGTGTGTACATATGTTTGTATGTGCAAATTTTTAAATACATATTTATGTATTTTGCAAAGATGAGATGAATTTGTTCATATTGTTTTGAACATCTTAGTTTTTTGTTTGAATGTCTTTATATATTTGCTGTCTGACGCTTTACAGTATTGCTTTTCATATTCTTTTCATGGATATGTCATCTTATGGATTGGGTAAGTCAGTTGATGGACATTTCAATTGATTTTGTATTTCTTGATCTTATAAATAACTATATAATACAACTTTTTATTTCTTCAGGAAACCTTCCAAATTGAAATTTCCACTGAATATATTTGCCATTAACATGTTCATGTAATACCTATTAAAGAATAGTTATGTATTGGGTATGGTGGGCATGCCATAGTGAATTAAGCAGGATATGGTCCCTGCACCAGTGCCCAAGCAAAGACATTGCCATGTTTGGTGGATCAGCTGTCCAGCTTAGGGTGTTCACATGTGTGCATGTGTGTAGATGTGTGTACAGCTAAAGACCGGGACAGTTATGATACTGGGGTGGGATGATACTGTGAAATGCTGTGTTGGTGGGTTATAAGGCTCCAGAGCCCAGACTCGGTGCAGGGTGTGTGAGTTATAGGTGGTAACAGAAGAAGAAATTTCCATGGTGAGTCTTGCAGGAAGGGGAGGAGTTCAGAAGACCTAGGAAGGTAGAGGCTGGCAGGGCCAGCATGATCAGAAGCTTTCAGCAGCGATCACGGTCCATTTAATGAAATTCTTTCTTGTCATGGCCTAGAGTTCTGGAGTTGAGGGGTGTGAGTGGAGTGAGCTGTGTTGAAGCATTGGACTTCATTCGCAGGGTAGCTATCAGCAATGTCTGATGTCAGTGAGTATTATGAGTAGCTATGCATTGTTTGAAGGTCACCTTGACTGCAGCAGAGAATAGACAGAGGGAGGTGAGAGTAGACAAGCTGGGAGAGCAGCTGGTATCCCAGGAGCTGGTGGTGACTTGAATGAGGTAGGTGGTAGTGGGGAAGGTGAGACAGGGGTGTATCCTGGAGCTCTCAGGAGATGGGACCTGGGCTGTGATGGGCTGTGAGGGATAAGGCAGGAGTCAAAGTACTACCTGGATCTCTGGGCCTAGAGAGAACCAAGGGAGAAAGTGCTGTCTACTCAGAAAGAGCACACCTACCATCCAGAACAGGCTTGCACTGGGGAACTCGTAAGGATGTGAGCATGATGAGAATAGCGCTCTCTGCCGGGTTCATCCTGAATGCCCAGTAGGGTAGCTCTGAGGTGGAATGCTAAGCCTCATTATCACACCAGTAATCCACCGGAAAGACTGCTAACACAGTCCCTCGAGGCCTCAAAAGTAAGCTCCAGTGATAAAATTACCTCTTAACACTTTAGGGCAAAATACAGTTAAAGTAAAGTACTGAAATTGTTCTGCTTGTTGGTTGGTATTTAGCTGAACAAAAAATCAGATATGTAATTGGTAGGTGGTTTGAGTGTACCTAGATAAGAAATAGGAGAAAGGTACAGGGATGAGATTCCTCCCAAGTGCCAACTGAGGAAGAAGAGCCTGTTGGTGAGGTTGCTTCTACAAGGATTTCCTGCCCTGACACTCTTTCCTTCCTTACAGCGCCGCTTTCTGTTCCCCTTCTTTGACTCAGCCTATCAGGGCTTTGCATCTGGAGACCTAGAGAAAGATGCCTGGGCCATCCGCTATTTTGTGTCCGAAGGCTTCGAGCTCTTCTGTGCCCAGTCCTTCTCCAAGAACTTCGGGCTCTACAGTGAGTGCCCTTAGGTATTGCAGCCCTGGCTCCCCCAAACTCTGCCATCAGCAGCTAAGACCAGTTTCTTATCATCTCTTTAGATGAGCGTGTAGGGAATCTGACTGTGGTTGGAAAAGAATCTGAGGGCATCCTGCGGGTCCTTTCCCAAATGGAGAAGATTGTGCGAGTTACTTGGTCCAATCCCCCTGCCCAGGGAGCACGAATTGTCGCCACCACCCTCTCTAACCCTGAGCTCTTTGAGGAGTGGTAAGGAGCTCAAAGCCTGATTGATGGGTGATGGGTAATGGATGAGGAGGCGGGTGGGGGGGGCAGGGGGACCCCCAGTGCGGGTGGTGGAGTGGAAATGCACTCTTCCCCTAAAGTTGGAAAACACAGGATACAGTAGACTGATAGAGTAGACTATCTAACTTCAAATCAGTGTGACAAAATTTGGGCTCTTCTTATTTCTAGTTTGCATATACATGTACAAGGGGTATACCCACCCTGCCACCCCGCATTGTCAGGGGGTTCCTAAAACCACAGATTGCACCAAACCCTAACCATTACTGTGTCTTCCTTTTTATAACACTTACAATAAAGGTTAATTTATAAATTAGGTATAGTAAGAGATTAACAATACTAATATCAATAATAAATCAAAATATTAATAATGGAATAATCTATCAGTATACTGTAATGGCAGTTACTTAAGACATATGAATTGTTTACTTCTGGGATTTTCCATTTAATTTTTTCCAACTGGGGTTGAAGCCATAGGAAGTGAAACCATAGATTAGGAGGGAGGAGACAATTATATTTTAGCTGATTTGGGGACAGAGCCATTTTCATGTGGTAGCTAAATCTCTAATTTCTACTTAAGTAGTCCTGATAGACTATGTTACCCGTGTATATCAGCCCCTCAGTGAACCGTGAGTGGAACCTTTAGTGGTATTCCAGCCAGCATATAATAAGACAAGCACTAGACTCTGGCAGTATGCACAGCCTTCCCTTTCTCCCCACTAAGTCTGTCTCTGCTCTGCTCATTCACTTATCCACGTATCCATGTACTGTATTAGCCAGGTTGTGATCCCATGTTCAGCTTGCAGTTTAAATTAGTGTTTTTCAACCTACATGTTTTCATGAACCATCTTTCCTGTCCAGACTAGAATTGATACCACTGTCTATGCTTCAGGACAGGTAATGTGAAGACAATGGCTGACCGAATTCTGACTATGCGGTCTGAACTCAGGGCACGATTAGAAGCCCTCAAGACCCCTGGAACCTGGTCTCACATCACTGAGCAGATTGGCATGTTCAGCTTCACTGGGTTGAACCGTAAGTGGCCCCCACTTCCTCAAGCCTGTGGGCAAGTAGACACAATGCCTCTCCAGCACTGGTCAGGAGCTCACCTTTATAGCTGCTGCCTAATTAGTTTAGTGTTACTTTTTGGGCCCAGACAAATTAGGTTTTTCTGTACCATTGTCTTGTGAACCCCTTGGGTCTCAAGAGCATTGTGGTCTGTCCTATAGCCCTACTGATTTTTGTGGATTTGAAGTTGCTCAGAGCTAGCTGAGCAGTAAAAGGATCTGTAACTTGTTCCAAGCTCCTTGTAAGTTGTCATATGCCTTTTGGCATTACCTTAGTATTAAGGATATAGATTATATATGATTATGATTATTACTCAGGTGCTGAGGGTGTGTGTGTGTGTGTGTGTGTGTGTGTGTGTGTGTGTGTGTGTGTGTGTGTGTGTGTGTGTGTGTGTGTGTGTTCTCGTCCTGGGGGCTTGAATTCAGGACCTGGGTCCTGTCTTTGAGCTTTTGTGCTCAAAGCTATAGCCACACTTCTGGGATTTTGTTGGTTAATTGGAGATGAGTCTTAGAACTTTCTTGCTAAGGTTTGGTTTTGAACTGTGATCCTCAGATCTCAACCTGCTGAGTAGCTAGGATTATAGGTGTGAGTCTCTGGCACCCAGTGGGTACTGATTTCTTAACAGGTTTTTCCTAGTCTCCAACTATTGCCTATAGAAAGATGTTATAAAGTTATCTCTCCATTTGATTTATTTGTTTATGTCTTTTGGAAGTACTGGAGATTGAACTCAGGGCCTTGTTCTTGGTCAGGCACTCTGCCACTTGAGTCATGTTTCTAGCCCCATTTTGCATTGATGAGTTTTGAAGCAGTCTTGTTTTATGCTAGGGCTGGCTGGGCTGTGATCCTTCTACTTGTGCTTGCCCGAGTCTCTGGGTGACTGGTACCTGCCCCTGCACCCAGCAGTGTGCTTTCTGTAAATGAGCATCAGTGACTACCATTGGTCAGAATAGAATCTCTTCAACTTGGCCGGGTACTGGTAGCTCAGGCTGTAATCCTAGCTGCTCAGGAGGCTGAGATATGAGGATCATGGTTCAAAGCCAGTCCAGGCAAGAAAGTCCTTGAGACTCTTTTTTTTTTTTTTGGTTGGTTGTGGGGCTTGAACTCTGGGCTTGGGCGCTGTCCCTGTGCTCTTCAGCTCAAGGCGAGTGCTCTACCACTTCAGCCACAGCACCACTTCTGGTTTTCTAGTGGTTTATTGGAGATAAGAGTCTTATGGACTTTCCTACCCTGGCTGGCTTTGAACTGTGATCCTCAGATCTCAGCCTCCTGGGTAACTAGGATTACAGGCGTGAGCCACCGGCACCTGGCTCCTTGAGACTCTTATCTCCAATTAACCACCAGAAAACCGGAAATGGCACCTTGAGCTGAAGAGCTCAGGGACAGCGAGTAGGCCTAGAGTTCAAGACCCATGATCTACCAATAAAAAAAAGAATCTCTCTAACTTTTAGTCTGAGCTGACCTGGAGCCTTGAACCTTAATCCTCTAATCTTTACCTCCCACATGGCTAGAATTACAGACTTGAGCCACAATAACTGATTGCCTCTCCATTTTGTAAATAAGAATTCAGATAGGTAATTAGAATTAAAAGCTGTTTGAACTGGGCGCTGGTGGCTCATGCTTATAATCCTAGCTACTCAGGAGGCTGAGATCTGAGGATCACCACTCAAAGCCAGCCCTAGTCAGGAAAGTTGGTGAGACTCTTCTCTCCAATTAACTACCAGAAAACTCGAAGTGGTGCTGAGGCTCAAAGTGGTAGAGTGTTAGCCTTGAGTGTAAAAGCTCAGGGACACTCTCAGGCCCTGAGTTCAAGCCCCATGACTGACAAAAAGAGGGGGGTAAAAGCTGTTTGAAAATCTAGTGGGCAGAAGTAGGGTTTTGGTTAGTTGTCAGTGATGAGAAAAATCCCTTCTAATGATAAATGGTCTTTTATTTAATCATTCCTGAGGATAACTGATCATACCACTGTTAGCATGGTGCAGATTAGAACTCATCTACTTGCCTCAATACTGGCTCTAGAGCTGATGAACAGTAGTTTGGGTTGGACGTAGAACTTTGGAGGCTCAAGGAGGGATGTATTATGCCTGGGGCTGTCAAACGGCTAGTTTTAAATAGGCTCAGGAAACACTCAAGGAAGTAAAGAGATGGTAAGATGTTGTAGACTCCTCAAAATACCTTGGGTGTATTTTGTGAGGCCACTCAAGAAAAGGAAGTAAAGAAGGTCTGGAAGCGTGGCTCGAGTGGAAGGCTTGGAGGTCAACCCCAGTACCAAAAACAAAAAACAAAAAGAAAAAAGGGAAGAGGAGCTTAGTTAACTATAGTGTCCTCATTACTATGGAATGGAGAATTAGTTCACTTGAATAAGCAAAGTCATCCTTATACAATTAGGAAAATAATACGTATAGTGGAAATTGATCTTCAGTAATCACACTCTGAAAATAGCTGAAGAGGTAGGAGTGTCTCCCCACTAACTAGCTTTATCTTCCTATGATCCACAGTAGGAAATCACTTTTATTATGAATTGAAAAATGATGAAAATAGATCTGTACTTATAATATTAAACATCATGTGATGTTCTTTATCTTCTAAAAAAATAGTAGTTTTTTTGTTTTTGTTAGTCATGGGGCTTGAACTCAAGGCTTGGATGCTTCCCTGAGCTCTTTTTGCTCAAGACTAGTGCTCTCCCACTTTGAGCCACAGCCTCCATTTCTAGTTTTCTGGTGGTTAATTGGAGATAAGAATAGTATGTACTTTCCTGCCCAGGCTGGGCATTGAACCGTGATCCTCAGATCTCAGCCTCCCGAGTGGCTAGGATTATAGGTGTGAGCCATTAGCGCCTGTCTAAAAATAGAATTTAAAAACTATCATTTTGTTAGGAAAACATACAGATAGAAAAGCTGTATATAACTTGTCTAATTCCAAAGAGTTGTGTAGTGAACCCCCATATTCTTACCACTAATTTCTCTAATTCTTATAATTCTTTTATTACTGTTTACTCATGAGAAAGGGGGTTTTTAACCTCGAGACCTGTGAAGCTGCAGCTACAGTACAAACATTGCTTATGTGGATATTGGTCTTTCTTGGGGAAGAGTCCATGACCTTTACTAGTGGCTCCTCCAAAGTAGAGAAGTCTTCTTTTTATTAAATCCCCAAGCCAGAGATTGAGGTCTGGAACTACAGTGGCTGCCTGTGAGGCCTAGTGGGCCTTTAGAGACAGTGGTATATTGTGCTTATGTTGACCAGGAGTTTGGCTCTATCTCCTGGGGTGACGGTCACTCACACAGCTAAGCCTGGGCAAGTTGGGGCTTTGCAAACTGTGTTTAGTAGGGCACATGGCAGGTAGTGCGGGACCCTAAGCCAAGTTTGCCACCTTATGGATATGCTATAGGCACAGGAGGTTGTAGGCAGGCTCTACCTAGCTTCATCTATAGTTCATTTCTGCAGACGTGGGACCCCTCCTGCACTTGGGGGGGTGCTGAAAGGCAATCGAGGATTGGATGGATATGTGTATTCAATATCACGTGCACAAGGCCTTGTCCAAAGTACTATCAAGACCAAATGTTAAAGGGAGAGTGCCACGAGGTCCACAGGGACAAGGAAGCAGGGTAATGTTCCCTATTAGTGGAATATTCTTGAGTCTAATGGTTATTTTTAGTTGATGGAGCATCTTATTTGGTTGGGAGGTAGTCTCAGGTTAAAATGAACTTCATGTGAATTAGAAAGTGAATTAGTATAAGATCTTTCCAGAATCTATAGGTAACCATGGTGACAAATCAGTTCCCTTTGCTTTATTTCTCTGGGTGAAGGGGAAAGAAAGAGAATTTAATAATTGTCCTTTAGGCACTGAACCACTATAGAAAGGATTCCTGCTCCTCTAATACTGTCTTCTTTGGGTTTTCAACAGCTAAACAGGTGGAGTATCTGATCAACGAAAAGCATATCTATCTGCTGCCAAGTGGTCGCATCAATATGTGTGGCTTAACTACCAAAAACCTCGATTATGTGGCTACCTCCATCAACGAAGCCATCACCAGAATCCAGTGAAGATGCGCTGTCCTGTCCACACCACCAAAGCAGTTCTCTGTCATGTGTGTGCACGAGTGTTCCCTGCCTACACGAACCTACTTGTATAAACTATGCATTAGAGACAGCTGAAGGACTAGATACTGCTTTGCTGAGACCTCTCTTGAAGCTGGCCTCTGGTGAAGTGACATCCCTTGAAATGAATTGGGGGCCTAGGTGTTGAGCATTTTGGAGGCCAGAATAAATTAAGAGTTCTTATTTAAGAGTAAGAAAATATTTTGATCATGAGATATAGATACCTTGTATATCCCCCCCACCCCCAACTAGGCACAAGAGTGCTGCCCTTGTTGCTCATGTTTTTTGTGTATTGTTTGACTCTACAGTGTCTAATCCCAAAGACCAAGGAGCTGAGTGTGGCTGTGGGTGTTAGCTGTGGCATTAAACTCATCCTCCGCACCCAGTGTCTTGTCTTCCTGCTCTGTCTGCATGGTTGTGTCCTCTGAAACTTTGGTTCTTCCAGGTGACTGCAATAGGAAATAGTTGTATCATGATACCTACACACACACAATATTTAACTGAAACAAAAGTCTCCAAACAGTATCTACCCTTGTGATGTGTAATGAGTTCTGCTATTTTTCTAGTCTAATATACTATGTATCATTTCACGTAGAAAATAAAAATGCTGATTGTGAAGCTTGGAATTGATTTTGTGATCCATTAAAATGGGGCTGTGAACTTAAGTTTAACAGAAAGATTTCAAAGGAATTTAATAATAGTTAAAAGAAAGACTAAAATGTATTATCCAAACACAGCTTTCTAGTGAAATTACTGTATGTTACATCTGTATAGGTTTTATGTGCTTATTAGTCTTTTTTTTTTGTTATGGGACTTGAACTCTGGGCCTGGGTGCTGTCCTTGAGCTCTTCAGCTCAAGACAAGCACTCTACCTCTTGAGCCACAGCTCTACTTCCATTCTTCTGAGTGGATACTTGGAGATAAGAGTCTCATGGACTTTCCTGCCTGGGCTGGCTTTGAACTGTGATCCTCAGATCTCAGCCTCCTGAGTAGCTAGGATTACAGGTATAAGCCATGGGGCTTGTCTTACATTTCTTAAAAAAATGACTTCATGAACTCATGAAGTTATGAGTTGGAGGGCCTCCTAGTCTGTTGGAGCAATCATAGCCATTTAAACATAGATCACAATTTCCAAACATCCCAGAGATTCTCCAAGTGGTAGGTTTTAGTGGGGTTGCTTAAAACAAAAGGGTGATTACTTGGGAGTTGCACAATATTTACAAGTTTATTCTTGGTATCTTAACAGCATCTTCCCTTCTAAAGGACTCTTTTGAGTTATTAAATCCTCTAGTCTTATAAGATGAATGAATCTTAGACATCACCAAGGCCAGCCTCTCCCCTACTGAGATAGTTTCTCCAGATTGTCTCCAACTCCTCCTTCTCAACTGGGGTGGTTGTGACAAATGCTTTCTATCCTTGGTGAGGTATTCCATTCTATTGGTAGGGTTCCTTCATTAAAAAAGATCTTTTACCTTGAGCTACAATGCGATCTACATGTGTCTGATTCCCCTTACTCTTCCCATTTCACTTCTAACCAGACAGGAAATACAGGGACTAAATGCAGATGACCTGTGTACTATATGAAAGTATGTGCTGCAATCTTTGTTTATGCTTGCTCATGTGAACCCGCTCCACTGTCTTCAGTTACCACATATCCTTTACCTCTCTGGCCTTCCCTGTGCAGGTGTGTGGCTGGGCTGGTGGGTGGGGGTGGAGTCCTGCCATCTCATTTCCTCCATATTGTTACTCTCCTTCTGACTTAAAGATGCTTGTCAGTAAAGATGGCAGTCAACAGAGAAGCCATGGGAGTCCCGCTTCTGTCATTTCCCAAATATATCTTTAAACTATTGTTCTCCACAGGGACAAGGGTACCTCTGCTGGGCAAAGCTTGGTTCTTAGGGGAAAAACCAATCTTGATACAGTAAATCACCTGTAGCCTGGTAAGGTCTAATCTTACCTGACAAAATCTTAGTTTTTAAATTTCTCGTTAGAATTTCATTTTTCTCTAGGAAAAAAAACCCCATTAAACATTAGGAAAGAATGGGTTTTGTTGTTTTTTGTTTTCCAGTACTGGGGATTGAACTCTGGGCCTTGGTGCTTTTTAGGCAGGTACTGTACCACTTGATCTAGGACATAAGCACCTTTCTACATTGGCTAATTTCAAGATAAGAGGCTCATTTTATGCCCAGGCTAGCCTAGACTGCGGTCCTCCTCCTTGTGCTGCTCTGACACTGGGGATGACAGGAGTCCACCACTGTGTCCAGCTATTGGTTGAGATGAAGACTTGAGAACTTTCCTGTCTGGGCTGGTCTTGAACTGTGATTCCCTGATCTTTACTTCCCAAGTAGCTAGGATTAGACTTGAGCTACTGCATTGGGTTGAAATGAATGATTTTAGCATTAAAGCAGTGGACTAGGTTTTTTGCTTTCTTGTGTCCTTAGCTAATTTTGGTCAGTGTGTCTCTGCTTATGTCTGTGACTCTGGAAGTCTGAGGAGGGCTGGACTTTTAGGGCTTGTCATGTGCCATTGCATGTGGATTTCTGAGGCAGGACACTCAAAGCTCCAGGTTCTGGCAGTTCCTGGTTGGGAAACTGAGCAAGTTGGCCATCCTCTCAAGTAACACCTTCATGGTGGTTTTCAGAAAGAAATGACCTAATAGAGTTTTAGCATAATAGTTGCTGCAATTACCTATAATGAAAAGAATACTTCCGCTGAGCCTCCTGGGAAGAATGTGAAGTTGTTCTGGCCTTGGCCACTCATCATCCTGTTTGCTGGTTTTATTCTTTTTTTTTTTTTTAATTTTTTTGGGGGTCTGGTCGTGGGGCCTGAACTCTGGGCCTGGGCGCTGTCCCTCAGCTCTTTTAGCTCAAGGCTAGCGCTCTACCACTTGAGCCACAGCGCCACTTGCGGCTTTTTTCTTTTTGCTTATGTGGTGCTGGGGAATCGAACCCAGGGCCTCATGCATGCAAGGCAAGCACTCTACCACTGAGCCACCTCCCCAGCCTGTTTGCTGGTTTTAAAAGTGAATAGTATCAGATTCCAACTTTCCTTCCACAAAGACATTCAGTGCCCCACATACCTTGCCACCTCCTGCATTGCTTTACAGCTCATCATCCTTAGGCCTGGCCCCCTCTCCTCCTGGTTTTCCCCAAGACTTTGGTTTAAACTGCTAGAGTCCTGCTACCCCGATTTCCTTCCAAAGAGTCTCCAGAAGGGAGCCATGTGACCAGCTCATAGACTCTGGGTTTGTCTGGGTCTGGTCCTCAAGATCTTGAACTTGGAAGGCTCCCAACATAGTCCTGCACCTGTCACATGACCTCCGCGAATGCCAACCTTCTCACTATCCTCAGTACCCTCTCTCCTTGTCTCTTATTTGCCCTTGGGTTCTTCCTTCCTCTGCTGGCATTCACTCTTACAAAAGCAGAACCTTCTGGGCCCCAAAGTCACCTGTCACCTGACTTCAGTCTCACACCTGGAGAGGCAGGCCCTCTAGGCAGGTGCACTCCAGGTAAAGTATTTACAAAGGTGTGTAGTCCAACTTGCTTCTCAAATACTAACACTTTGGAACCCCAACATTTCCAAGGAAAACAGCCACATTCCAGGAAAGGAATTTTTCATTTTATTTCAAAAGTACTTATAATTTATTGAGCTTTTCATAAATGCTTTATTTTAAAATTAGTTTTAAACATTTTTTTTTTAACCTGAAGAAAATCAGAGTCAGGGACAGGGCAAGGGAGGTGTGGTGACAGGCTCATTGGGGTTTTGCAGGGGGATGGATGGAATGGGACAGCAGTGGCCTGAACCTGGCAGCCTAAGGGGGAAATGACAAGGAGCTTAGCCAGGCAAGCTGTCTTGGGCCAGTGACTAGCTGGCAAGAAGCCTGCAGGATGGCAGTTCTTGCTCAGAACTCACCACCTACTGGTCTGAGTCTGAGGCACCTAGCACTGAGGTGGTAACTATTTCTACCAGGCAAGAGCAGGGTGTGTGTGTGTGTGTGTGTGTGTGTGTGTGTGTGTGTGTGTGGAGGGGAGGATGGTGGCTGAGGAGGTAGCTAGGAGAACACATGCATGACAGCTGAGCCTCAGATTGGCCAGGCCAGGGGGTTGTGGGAGCCAGTGACACATTGCTGGCAGAGGTCTCTCTAGCTCCAGTCCTTCCTCCCACGGTGTGCCAGGGTTCTCCTGACCACAACACCTGCTCTGGGTTGGTGGGGATGAGGCCAACATTGCATGGGGTATAGGTTGTAGAATACTCTAGGTGTGCCAAGAATTTGAGGACTCACTTCTTGGTACCAGCCTTCCCCATTCAAGAGGGGCATTTGGCCACTTAAGACTAACTTACTTCATAATGCTCAGAATTCACTCTGCATTGCAGAAACACTGGGCTAAAAGTTCCACTATTTTAAATAGTGTTTTGCTTCTTTTTTTTTTTAAACCCTTTGTGGGTCTGAGGATTTTGAGAATCGTAGGAAAGTTTAACTCTGGAAAATATACAAGAACACATATACTAAATTGTGACACTTTTAAGGGTTTCACAGACTCATAGACCCGCTGAAGTCTGACTATGACCTCCTGGGGTACTGGACCCCAGGTTCATAACCCCTGAGTTAAAAGTTCCAGTGGGCAAGCATTTTTCTTTGTAGTGCAAATAACCCAGAGGAAAGATCAATCACCTACCTACCTTGTGGTTGACTGGGTGTAGAAGGACAGTGATGGTTTTGGAAGAAATGGAGGGAAGCCTACATGATATTTGCCTCAGGGAGAAATTTGGAAGTAGTTTGCAGATTCAGCAGGCACCACTGGATCACTGGGTATGGGATAGGGGGAGGAATATCTAAGGGGTAAGAAAAAAAAAACAAACCCAAAGACCAACTTAGTTTTACATTTTCCTTTAGACTGGCTGCAATCTGAACATTTCATTCTTGGAAGTCAGCATGTGCAGCCATTTTGCCATCTTGTGGTTGTGCCTGGGATTGCACCTGCCCTAACCTCCAGGAGAGGGCTAGTAGATTCTTAGCTGACCCCCTGGGGGGCGGTGGTGGTAGTAAGTGGTGGAGGTGGGGAAGGGGCGTGGTCAATGAAAAGAGTGATTCTTCAATGTTCCTGTAGAACACACAATGACGTTCCTTGAGAATACATGTCTTTCCTGACTGCGCTGGGCACTCTTTGGTTTGTCATGGCTAAATCCACTTTAACAGCTTAAGACTTTTCCTTATATTTTTTTTTTTTGTCTTTTCAGAAACTTTTGCTTTGCTTTGCTTTTCACTTAAAACTTGACGTTCCACTTCTGGCTCCTGACTAGGTTCTCTGACTCCTACTCCTCTTCTTGCAGAACAGATTTATTGATTACTTCATGACTGCTAGCTGGGAGCCAAAACCAATACATCCCTGGGGAAAAAGAACACCAGTGACTTGAGGCTCCATCCCACATTCTTTCCAGTGCCGAATCTCACTTCCCCAGGCTCCCAAAGCCCTTAGTAACAGGGAACCAGTCACCAATGGCTTCTGTGCTGTGATGCCAATCACGGGCCAGCTCAACTGCACCCGACACTGTAAAGTTCTGGACGAGTTCTTGGTCCATCTCTCAGAACCCATCTTCATACCTACTATACCAGCCTCTCCTGTGCCTGTCTACCATGCTATCTTCGGAGCCAGGCTAAGCATGAACTATGACAGAAAGGTTATCACATTGTTCTCGAGGGCAGAATGATGAGTTCCAGGACATGAGTCTCTAGGGCGCTGGGGACCCTAAAGAACAAAAATGAGTCTCATGTGTCCCAGAGTGGCAATGTCAGCTTGGGCTTCTCTCTTTTCCAGCCCCAGATTGTGCTGTGGACATGACCAGGAGATGGCCACGGCAAGACTCTGAGTTGAACTGGAGGCGACGAGGGGGAAAACAATCTGCCAAACTGACAGCTAGGGATGAAGAGGTGGAAAGGAAGGCAGAGTGCTCTGTCACCTGTGGGAGGCCTTGGGGAGGAAAGCAGATGATGAGAGGGTGGGACCTCCCCCAAAGCCCTGGACTCTCACACACCCAGCCAGTTCGCCCGGTCATGTGATCAGAGGCCTTAAATTGGAGTTTTCCTCCGAGGTTCTCTCTCCATCTGCTGACCTTTTCCGTTTTCGACCACCTGCAAAACATGAGTTTGTATCAGCCCGTAGGACTGAGAGGACATGGACACCCTCTCAGCAAGCTGATTTCTCTTCAAAACAGCAGCAGAAATGGAGGCAAAGACCTGGGCTGCTGGGCTCAGCGGCCGTCTGCTGTTCATGTAGTAGATTTACATCCTGAAGCATGAGGTAGAATCTTCCACAGAAGATGACACCTTGAGAAGCCACAAACTCAGGCTAATGCCTACATAGAAACTTCTTTGAGGGAATTGAGTAAAACCTGTGGAATGCCTTAGCAATAGGCTGTCTCCTTAGGGCCCCAGGCCCACCGGCTTCCTGATACCCCAAGTAATGACCAGATTTGTAGTCATTAGCATGCCAGGGTAGGTGGGCAGAGCTGGGTGCCATTCCTGGGGATTCTGAAATAACCTCCCTTCTCCACTGGGACAGATGACAGTAGTTACATCATTTTTCTAAGGAAATGGAGCCATCTGTTTCCCTCTCTCCTGTTTCTAGGAAGGAATATTTTCACCTTTGCTTTCTGCCGTACTACACCTAAGGAGGATTTTGTTTTCCCTTTTATGGAGTCCCTTGGATACAATTTTTTTTCAAAAGGTCAAATGGTAAAGATTATAAAAGGTTTTGTAGGCTACAAGGTCTCTCTGTCAAACTGCTCATCAATATCTTTGAGGTCACAAATCACAAATGGATCTACAGCCTGTTAAATCTTTACTTATAGTAATAGGTAGAGGAGGGAGGTCAAAATCTGACCCTAGGGCCAGGACAAATTTGCAGACTCCTTCCCTAGAGGATCACCCACTGAGCGACACAAATCCAAGGGTGCAGTACTGGCTGAATCCCTACTGTGCAACTGAACCTCATTAAGTTTCCCCAAAGGAACCAGCAGCTCTTTTCCTGGAGAAAGATCCCGGTGTGTTGCCATTCCTAGTAACTGGGGGAGGGACTGAGGACTGGGGGAGGAGCTACTCACTCAAGGTTCTCAGCAGCTTCTTGCCCATGGTTTCCTCAAAGTCACTACTGCAAGGGCTGGTCTCTGGATCCAGGCTGATAGGACAACACTCAGGGTCTGATGCTGAGAGAAAGGGGAAGGAGAGCAAACACAGGCTTTTCAACCCACACACCCAGGGATCCAGGCAGGGAGCTGGATTCTGCGTGAGGTCTCTCAGCTAGTGAAAGTCAAGTAGAGAACTGAGTCAGGACAGGAAAGATAAAGGAGAAATCCCCAGGAAGGGGTCATTTTGATCCTATGAGTAAGTAAGAAACATTGTTTTGTGTGTGTTCCAAAGAACAGGAGTAGGAATCCAACAGTCCATGCAAAGGCAGAAACAATTTCCTTTTAGATTTTTTTTTAGGATGAAAGAACTATGCTCTCCATTCATATCTCTGCCTGGAACTGGCGGGGATGTCTCCTTGCTCTGCATTGAAAACCACAGGGCTCAGTAACAATTGGGCAGATTCCAGGAGGAATATACCAAGCCTCAATATACCAATGCCTTAAGAATTTTACATGGGGAGGCTGAGTGTTCATAACAGTGTTTGGCTAGGGGTGCTATGTGAGGCGGGTGGACTGGACGCTCTGTAAGCTACCTTTGTCCTTTACTGCATTTTCCTAGCCACATACTTTAGTTACTACATGGGCTTTTTGAGGGAGAAAAAGAGCATATCAGTTCTAAGTGTAAGCCCTAGACTGGTGACTATGTATGTCCCAGATTTTCTGGGCTAGCTAACACATCCAAACCTCTCTCCTTGACTTTACAAACCTACAAGCCTTTCTAGTTCTTTACCGGGGAGGCACACCTCAATGAGGCAAGGCTCTGGAAGGCCTCAGCACTGCGGGGACACCAGGAACTTGGAGCAGCCCCATTGCCAATGCAGAAGTACTCAGACTGCCTTGTTTTGCCAGCACCCACAGGAATGGAAGAGCCCAGCCAGAAGGGTAATGGCTGACACCATTAAACCTTCCTTATCTGCAGGGTAGGTTTAATGTCTGCACAGCACAGTGTCCAACTCTGTGCTGTGCCCTTTATATAAATTACCTTGTTCATACTTGAAAGCCAATTTTATGAGACACATCATTTTTTACAAGCAAATGTAAGGAAACTTATCTATTAAGATAAGAAAATGGAGTTTTAGGTTAAATAACTTGCTTAAAATGGCAGAGCTGCTAAATGAAGGAGCCAGAGTCAACTCCAGGCAGAAACGTAGCCAATCCTGCATTACACAGACGTCTGGGGGAATGAAGTAGACTGGGACTGATGCATGGTAGGTGCTCAGTAAAGGCTGGAGGTCCTTGCCTAGTTGTGTAAGCAAGTAAGACTCAGAACCCAGGCCTCCCCACACCCAGCTTGTTCGGGTTATCCCATCACCTGATGGTAGTGCCTTGCACCTCTGGGCCCCTCCCTAACCTGCTGTTGTGGGAACAGCTGCAGGGGACAGCGAGAGTGGCTGAGCCTTGTGCTCCTGGAAGTCTGTCATCTCTTCCTGGGTGAAGGCCAGCTCCTCCATTCTCAGGTACACCACCTCGCCTGGGCTTCTCAGCCCATCCGAGCGGCTGCCTGGGGAGGACAGTGAATGCGTCACCCTTCTGCCTTAGAGAAGACCTGGGGTTCCATGAAGCACAAGATGGTAGCCCCAGACAGGGCTAGGAGAAGGCCGAGCTGTTCTCACCTCACCACAGCCCCACCCATCTGCCCAACTGACTCACCCGGCAGGCTGGTCCTGTTGCTCAGGAGCGTGAGGGCAGGGTCATCCTTGGGGGTCTGGGGTGTGCCCCGGGTTGTGGGGGCCTTGGTAGAGTCTCCATCAGTGAAGGCCTCCATGTCTGGAGACTGGGGTGAGCTGTCCATGTGGCAGGCGGTGAGTGCGTTCTGGTATTGCTGTCGGGTGATCTAGAAAGAAGCGGGAAAAGCTCAAGAGAGCTGTGTGGAATCCTCTCAAGATGGAGACACTTTTTCTAAGTTCACAAGCGGCCCTACCATGTTGCTGTGGGACCCCCTGGTCACAGAGGCCTGAGATCTGTAAACCTTAACCTATCTAAGCTGGACCAGCCCAGAAACTAAGGGGCCAGGAGGGGGCCTTATTCATCAGCCACCAGTTTCTTCTATTCCTTTTTATTGCTGTTTGACATCATAGTACACAGGAGGAGCCTATCTGAATCCATTTTGTTTTGCTATGACAAATGTACCTAAGACTGGGGACTTGAAAAAGAAAGGAGGTTTATTTGGTTCACATCTGGTGGTTGAAAAGTCCAACAACCATGGCACCAGTACCAAGTGGACAGCCTCTGCCTTCCCCTCTCCCCAGGCTATATCACAACATAGTAGAGAAGCAGAAAGGGAAATGACTGGGTGTAGAAGGGGCTGAGAACTTGGGGCTGGCAGCTTTTCTTTCTAACAATCTGCTTTCCCCAGAATTAACCCAACCCTGGAAGAACTACACAAATTCTTTCAAGGGTGGTGATCTCAGAACCTAACCACTCCTCAATATCATTATTTTGAAGATATTGGCTGTAGCATGGAAATCTGTGGGGAGCACACTAATACCATAGCTAAATCACAGGACAGGGGTTATAAACTGTCCTAGATCAGCAATTCTCAAACCCCAGCACTAGAATTACCCAAAGGGCTTACTTAAGGGCTTGTTTGAAGTAAGATATCTGGGTTCAGCTTTCAAAGTTACACTTTTTCTTCTTTTTTTTATGGCACTGGAGTTTGAACTAGAGCCTTGCACTCTACCACCTGAACCTTGTCCCCAGCCCTTTTTGGCTTTAGTTATTTTTCCAATAGCATTTTGTGCACGAACTGGACAGAAATCTTCCTACTGATGTTTCCTTAATAGTTGGTATGACCGGTATGGAACTACCATGTCCAGCTTTTTATTGGTTGAGAGGGTCTCATGAACTTTTTTTTTTTTTTGCTTGGGCTGGCCTTAAACTGAGATCTTCCCAATCTCTGCTTCCCAAGTAGATAGGATTACAGACAAAAATCACTTGAGCCTGGTTTAAAGTTTCTAATTCACTATGTAATTTGCATTTCTAGCAATTTGCTGCTGGTCTGGATGTTGCACTTTGAGAACCACTGACCTGAGACCTAGTTAAAATCAGACACAGGTCCCACTCAGATTCTTGTTCTTTCCTTATAAAAGATTTAAAAAAATTAATAAAACAGCAGCATGTGGGCAACTGGCTTTGATATTTTCGAGGTCAAAACCATATGTCTGTGCTTCAACACATAGAACCATGCGTCTCAACCATCTTTTGTCCAGTCTTCAATAGGTTGAATGTTTGTGTTGAGAGCATCTGAATTTTCAGCCCTTGTCTGTTACTGAGTGAGAAGTCAGTATCGAGCATTTCCCCCAAAGATAGGAAAGTGTGGCCCTAATACTAAGGGACAGAAAAATTTCCTACACAACAGTTGGTAAGCTCAACAAAGCAGCTGGTTTTATTGTAGTTGTGTTCGTTAAAGCATTAGTTTAGATTTCTCTTCTAGCTTAGTCAAAGAAGGCAATGGGACACTCTACCTAGAAAATACAACAGGAAACACATTGCCTGCTTGAACAGCACCCAGGTCCTAGTTAGTACTGGGTTTGCCACTTTCTGGCTGGTGACCTGGGCCAAATCACTAACCTCTCTAATCTTGTCAGAGGGGCCCAGCGAAATGAGTTAAAGTGAATGCACGTGTTACCCTCTATTAGGAATGATTACTAATTGTGTGTCCACACAGTAGACTTAGAATCTTACTTTACAGCAGACATCCATTTTCAAGACAGAGGCCAAACTTTGCACTCATGAAGTGTGTAAGTTGTTCCTGGCTTTCTGTGGGTTGGGGGTGGGAAGGAGCAGTGTCCCTCCGTCCCCAGAGACAATGTGACAGGTGGTGCTGTGAAGGCAAGACTAGATCTTGGAAAGGTCAATCTTTAACCAAGAAAACAGGAAAAGAGAACACAGGGGAAAGAAATAGAGTCCAACAGGGACAGTGGGCCAGGGAAGAGGGAGAGAAAAGCCGCCAGAGTGAGGAAGAGAGAAGGAAAGGGGTATGTGTCAGTTTGACTTTGAAACGGATCTGCTGGCTTAAAGCTCCCATTAGTTGCTAGATTGGCTGTGTCCCCCAAGATAGATGGCTCTTGGTTGTGGCAGCCACAGCAGAAGTTCCATCTTAATGAACAAAGTGATTGGAAAGGTTCTATCCAGGCTGGACCTGCAGTAACCTATGCCACTCAGAAAAAAAGTGCTGTGTCTCCTCCAGGTGCCTGGGACCAGAGGAACTCAAACCCTCCGTTTATGCCTTGTTATGGAGGGAAGAATGAGCTGGGAATGAAGAATTCTGGTAACACTATTGAACCAATAGGACAGGATTTCTAATGAGGTACCGAGTTCCCTGGCATTGGGGGAGTTAGCATAGTTGTTAAACCAGACAGCTGCAGTCAGGATATAACATCAGGGGAAAGAGCACAGGTGGGCTGGGGAGGTTGAGTGGCAGGTGGCTGGCCAAGGACAGGTAGGACAGAGGTTGGGAGAAGGTCTGAACTGGTGGATGGTTTTAGAAAAGCAAAGGCACTCCCTATTTTCTTTATCGTCTCTATGTCTTACAGCTTTGTTTTCACACACTGCTTTAAACACTACTGTTGATAGGGCACCATTCTGGAAAATGTGTTCAGAAAAGCAATCTCTGTCCTGATTCTCCAAGTTGTTTTTCTAGATTCAAGCACCACACCACTTGTCCTTAGTTCCCTTCTCTTGTCTAGCAACTGTGACATTTTTGGGGGGTGGTGGTGGTGCTGGAGGTTGCCTCAAGGCCTTGTGAATGCTGGGCAAGGACTGTACCAACAAGTTACATCCCCCGTCCCCTCACAACTTCTTTTTATCTAGCATGATACTACAGTGAAATAGCACCAAGAAATATGAGTTATACTGGCAATCAAAAAAATTTTTCATAATAGCTAGAAAAAAGAAACAGGTAAAATAATTTTAATGATATTTTTTTCTTTTACCCAATAAATACATTCAACATACTTATGAAAACTCTAACATGAAAACAATATAAAGTTGGAATATGACATTAATTTTTGTATGAAGTCTTTGGAATCCATATGTGGCCACTGGGTTACTGTATTAGGACAACCAAGGTCCAACAGGTCTTGTGCTAAACTACTCTGCCTAGTTTTAAGTTTCAAGGTCAGCTTGAGCTACCTACAGAGACCTTTATCTCAAAACAAAATGAAGGCTTGGGGATGTAGCTCCGGGGAAGAGGACCAAACTTAGATTAATACCCAGCACTGCCTTTTCACCATAAAGCTGGCTTTGAACCTCGATTCTCAGATCTCAGTCTCCCTAGTAGCTAGGATTATAGGCACAAGCCACCGGCACCTGGCAAAGGTTGTCCTGTTTATCTTGAAACTTAACATGACTTAGCAGATTGCCATTTTGACTTAGCAGACCAGGTACCTGGAAGATAACCTTTACGTTAGGATGTCTTTTGTCATTCTGCTTGGATACTCTCAATTTTCCTATGGTTTATAACACCTCTCAAAATGCACCCCTACAACTTAGACTCTATGCCGCTGACAAGCTTTCTGAAACCAGGCCTTTATAAAGCCGGCAGCAATTGCTGCCTAGTATTGGAGCACCTGAATGGGATGCTTGTGGTGTGCAGGGAGTGTAGACTCCTTATCTGGGAGATGGGGGTGGGGTGGGGAGGAGGTCGCCCTCCTGGAGAGTTACCTTCACGAACTGCACATCGCTGAGGATGTGGACTGAGTAGTCGGGTGTGTAGAGGTTGTTGCTGCTACTGTAGAGCTGGGTGTTGCTCCCACCAAAGTCACTGCGCTCTCGGTTTGGAGACTCAGAGCGGTTCAACCCGCTGCAGCGAGAAGGGGACCGGTTTACTGCAGATGGTGAGGAAGGGGGAGAGGAAGGAAAGACAAGGAGTGATGGGTGGGGAGAAAAGAGAAGGGATGGAAGGATGAGAGAGAGAGAGAGAGAGAGAGAGAAGAGAGAGGGAGGGAGGGAGAGGGAGAGAGAGAGAGAGAGAGATACTTTTGACTGAGGTGTTCCAGGAGCAGCCACACCAGCACTGGGGGATGGAGGGGAGCCTGCCCTTTCCCACCAGAGGCTAGGAATATGCTGAGTGCTGGTGTTGAGTCCTGCAAGGAGCAAATACTAAACCCTGTGACTTCTCCAAGGGAGGAGTTGGGGTGCTTGTTCCCAGACCCCCCAGACAGTGGGCAGAGGTAGTGGGATGCATTTCTTGGTCCTCATCTTCCGGTTACAAGCAGGGGGCTCCCGAATACATGAGGCCAGTGCCATTTGCATGGCAAACCACTCAGACAGTGAGACTCCACTGCAGTGGGCTATTGAACACAATCTCACATCAAACCTTATTTTAGAGGTTTGCCCTCAAGACCACCCACCCGTCCCAGTCAGCACAGAAAGGGTCTGAGACCCACCAGTCATAATCACATTATAAATCACAGGAATAAATTGTTAACAATGTGACTGGTTGTAGCAACGTGGAAGTTCAGGTTCAATTCCCTGGTGTTTTGTGTGCCAGACAATAGGCTATGGACCTGGACCTAGGACCAGGACTCTGCACCATTATCTTCAGAGCTGTTTGGGTGGGAAATCCCAAGATTTTGGGGATCTGAAATGTGGTCCAGAAGGAAGAACAAGGGCTCTGGGTACACACAGCCCTCTGGTCCTGTAAACTGCCTGTCTCGCCGCTAGGGGAAGGACTCAGGGCCCCATTGGGTCCTTCAAATGTGGGGAAAGATGGAGTTTGCTCTTACATAGGCCTATGGAGGGACCAGAGTAATAGACACGTTTTCTGTCCAAGACCCAAATATCCAGTCTCATTCTTTTTACATTTTAATTTGGGAGCGGGGAGAAAGAACATTCTGGAAGGCCTGTTATTTGATTTCAAAATGGACTCTGTGAACTATCTTCCCCAGGATCAATAGAAGAGAGGGCACTGAAGGTGATCCTACTGTTATTTCAACATGGAACCACACTAATGACAATGCAAATGCAAAGTCCCATCCCCCCCTGCCCCGTCCCATCCCCAGTGCTTTTATTTCCCAACTGTCACCACTAAGCAGTTCTTCCAGAAAAGGGGGCCAGAAGGATGCCAGCTTCTCAGAACCCAGATTTAGTTGAGGGGGCTCAAATGAAGAATAAAACTCTTCATAGATTCTGGTCCTTGCTCTCTGAGGATAGGATGATTTAATTTTGTCTCTTGAGATAGTGGTGCTGTCAATCAAAATATTATATTAGCCCCTCTTTGGAGTGAGTCATGCCAGTTGCTGATCTGTTGTTTCCATGCCAAGATCTTACTGTCTTCCACACCAGTGAGCAGAAAGACTGTGATATTTTCTCATTAGAACAGTAATAATCATGGCTTTGGTATGATTATAGAATTAAGGGTTCTAATTCCATCTTCCCATTCTCAGTAAGTGTCATTATTTACATGTTGTTACATTACTTCAGAAATCAGAGAGTCCCTCCACCGAGAGACTCCTGCCACACTCTCAACACCACATTAGTCCTTTGTCTCCACCTTCAGCACAATGAGCTCCTCTATCTTATCTCCTTCTAACAAAGATCAGTAACCATCACATTACCTGGGCCACATCTGGTCTCCCCACAATAATCTTATGCAGCAATTCTCTCACCTCCCCCTCTCTCTGTCTCTCTCTCTGTATACACATTTCCAGACTTAGACTAGAGGCCTGAAATTACCAACAGTACCAAACCCTATTCATGTTACATTTTTCCCCTATGATAATTTAATTTATAAATTGCATACACTAAGTGATTAGCATTTATTCCTATTTACTAACCAATTCCATAGAATAACTACAGCAAAACACCATAATAAAAATTATTTAAGGGGCTGGGAAGGTGGCTCAATGGTAGAGCGCTTGCCTTGCATGCCTGAGGCCCTGGGTTCGATTCCTCAGCACCACATAAGCAAAAAGAAAAAAGCCGGAAATGGTGCTATGGCTCAAGTGGTAGAGCACTAGCCTTGAGCTGAAGAGCTGAGGGACAGTGCCCAGGCCCAGAGTTCAGGCCCCACAACTGGACCCAAAGTACTGATGGCCTCCATTATAAAAAAAATTATTTAAAACTTATGAATTGCTTAGTTCTGGTGTTCTTCATCACTAATTTATGGACCTCAGTTGATAATGGGTAACTAGACCCTGGAAGGGGAAAATGTGCATAGAGAGGACCACTGTAGTCTATTTTCATCCAGCTGCCAGAATCAAAAACTTAAAAACGCAAATTAGTTTTCTATAGTACTGGAGTAAACCCAAGATAACAGTATTAAAAAGAAAACGTTACATTTCAATGCTGGTCTTGCTCCCTTGAATAATTGATGAGTTCTGGCTTGGTTAGACTCATTTGTGGCTAGGCAAGGTGGTAGGCAGCTGGGAAGGTCAGCACTCTTTCTTCCAGGCTAATTGTTGGGGAAATAAGCAGGCAGTCTTGCAGGAAAGCAGCTCCTCTGGCATACAAACAGGCCTGGAAAATCACACCTTGTCCCAGTGGGTGTTGGCCTCTATTCGGTTTGCACATTACCCAGGGACAGGATGTGAGCAAGGCCTGTGGCTTCAGTTGCCTGGAGAAGGCACTGCCATATCTTGACCGTCCTCCAGTCTGCCTGGCTGGACATAGGCGTCATCTACTCCACACCCACGATTCCACATTCATCTCTGAGGTCCCAATCCAAGAGGTATGTGCGAAGAGGACAGGGAAACAGAGCTAGATCACATTACTAAATTCCTCCCATGCACATAGCAAATCACCTCCATGACTTGTTGGAAACAGAGGCAATAACTACACCCCAGTTGCTCATACAGCTCTCCACAGGCACCAGAAACAGTCACCCTGCTGCTACTCAGAGATTCACAGGTCAACCACAAGCTATACTACAGTTGGGTTGGAAGGAGAAAAACAGGTTTTTTGTTTTTGTTTTGTTTTTAAAGTAGATACACTGTTGAAGATTTTTTTCAAAATCCCAAAGGATTTTCAGCACCAAAAGATCCATTTGTCTTATGAAGGTCAGGACTAGAAAAGCAATTTTTCAAAGAAAAAGGAAACCTTATTTTGTGACAGGCTCATCTGAGTGTTGGTTAAGATGAATCTTGTGCCCCAGAGCCTGACATTTCTCAATAGGTAGGATGCTGATGAATCGGCATTTTGATAATTGTGCACATGCATTCAGAGTTTCTGAGCAAGGGGACTGGAAATGGAAATGCTTTTAATAAAAAAAATAAAGAAGAAGAAGAAATCAGTAACAGACGAGTGTCCTAACAGCAGGCAAAGTAGTTCAAGTTGTATAAATCCCTCTGCAATTTCCTAAGCGTACAGAGGCACTGCTTGCGGGGGAGTGAAGCATCAAGGAATGTCCTAAGTACAATGCAAGGAAAAGAGACAGATTAAAGAGTGATGCATAAAACTGACCACAGGACTGTTAACGGGAGGTAAGCCAAGGGGTCCACACATCCTTGGCCCACTCCTGCTCTTGCCTTCTACCTTTAAGTTGGCTCTGGTTGTGACTGAGTGTTAGGAAGGAGGATTTCCTTCTCTGGACCCAAGTAATATGGAAAAGCATTCCTATGGCCATGGTGTGGTCAGTCTCTCAGAGATGTGTCCTGGCAGCTTGGTTATTAAGCTTAGATGAAGAAGACACTGTGGTGAAATTTGGAGGAGAAAGAGTGTGTGGGAAAGGACTTCACACTGCAATGGTGACTGAAAGGAATTCTTCTCTCTGTACTAATAGGCAGCAACCCCCACATTTTCATACAGATATGGACTCTTGCTTTACTTGTGACACTTTCATCAAGGGAGCCTTTACACCCCATCCAGGAACCATTACCCAAGATATCCAAGATGAATAATGCCATGCTACTCTTTGGGAGCTGGGGATGTGTGGAAAAGGAAGGCCCAATGGCTTGTCTGTCTACATCTTTTTGAGCATCAGTTAAGAATGAGGGATATGGCTACATTTTTCCAAATTAGATGGAGAGTTCAATTACACAGGCCTGTAGGAGTACAAAGTAGAATTATTAAAATTCATCTGTCTTTGATAGTATTCATCCTCACATAACCAAATACCAAAGGGCAGCCCTGTGTCAAAATTCAATGTGAACTCTGCAAGCTAGCCATCCGTTAGGATCCCAGATGAACTCGCTCCAAGTTTTAATGGGTCCCAAATTTTTATCATACAAGAGACAACCCAAAGGAATATTTCTATTTTCCACATTTCATAGACATTAGCAGTAGAAAGGTTATTTTTAGGGACTCCTAGTATGTTCTTTGAGAAAATACCATCTTTCTTTTCTTTTTAAAAAAATCTCAACGCATATTTTGGTTGGACAACTGAGTACTGAAAAAGAGCCCTTGGTTCTCCTGCCTCCGTGTTTTTGTGGATATGGAAGGATCATCCTGGAGAACACAACATTATCTCTGGTATTTGGAGAAGAAAACAGGAATGCATGCAGAAGAGAGAATACTAATGGCAGGGGGGGCTAATCAGTGGGGCTAAGTTTTCTCCCTTCCTTCCTCCTCCCCTCCTTCCCTCCCTTTTTTTCTGTACTGATACTAGGAACTCAAGGCCTGGACACTTTCCTTTAGCTTTTTTGCTCAAGGCTAGTGCTCTATTACTTGAGCCACAGATACACTTCCAGCTTTTGTTGATTGGTTTTTTGGAGATAAGAATCTCCTGGACTTTCTTGCTTGGTCTGGCTTTGAACTGCAACTCTCAGATCTCAGCCTTCGGAGTAGCCAAGATTATAGAGGTGTGAGCTAAAAGAAGTTTCATTTGTAAATTAAAGCAGCCCCAAAGCTGGCTAATTTTACCACCCTTCGAGGTAATCCACAAACCACTTAGCAACCTTGACTTCAAGCAAATGCTCCAATGGAAAGAAATGCCTATTAGGTAATGATTTGTAATCAGATGCTCAATATTTTTGCAATATTTGATGCATGGACCTCTGGTTTTTGCAGTCTTAATCCAGTATGAGCAACATATTCATTAGTATTCATTAGCAACATATTAGCAACATTAGCACCCCCTCAAGGTGGTGCAAAATGCATACATGTAGAGGAACAGCAAGGTCCCCAGCAATAGAAGGAAGTCAGGACCTAACAGACTTGGATTCCAGTCCTCATTCTTCTACCTACTTATTACATACCCAACACTGACCCCTTACTTGTTATTTCCCAACAGGATTTCTGCCCATTTCCGAAAGTGGCTGTAAGGATCAAATAAAATTAACATCAGATTAAAAAAAAAAACTTAAAACTCTTATTACTTTCTATGGCTTTTCTTTTTCCCCTTTGTTAAGATGAAGTCAAGATTTTATATGTTCATAAGCTTATGGATCAGAAATTAAACAGGGGTCCAGAGGTGCCTATAGTTTTCTGCTGCAGAATTCCAGGCCTCTAATACTTTTTCTATGGTAAAATGGGACAGAGAGGGAGGAACAATACCATAATGTAGGTCCTATGGATGTCACCTACCCACTAGGATCAGCATCCTAGTGGGTGTTTGTCTGTAAATAGAGGCCAGACAAATAGAAGAGGAGGAAAGAGGCAAAGGAGAAGAAAGGCTCTCTACCTCCCATTTCCCCTGCTGTACCCATCTCTGCTACACCCTGCAGGGCAGGAAAAGGCTGGCTTTGTTCTTGCTTCTTTATTGTTGGGCTTGCTATTGGGCTGAACACCCACAGTCATGGAAAATGGGGGGAAGGTTGAAAGAGCTCTCAGGGGCACTGGTAACAGCCAGAGACGGAATAGAAATCTCAGCCTCTCTTGGGTTGAGGGATTACACAGCAAGAATGAGTCACTTCAATCTCTGTCTGACACTGAGCTGCCATGAAGTTTCCCATAATTACTAGTGAACTAAAATTAACTTTCTTTAAGTGGGAAAGTGACAATTAACTGGGTTATCTGGTTAATTCAACTTTGATCCTTTTGGTTGAAAAAAAATTAAAAAAGGTATATTTCCTTCCTATGGAACATTCAGAGCACACTTTGGGCCTTCTCCAAGACTTCTTCAGGATTTACTGAAAGGTCCATGCTGTTATTTCTAAATTTTTGCTGGCATGCAGGAACAGACCATTGAGCTGGTGAGGGTACCCACCTGTCACTTTACATGCTTTGCCTGTTCTGTAGCCAGCAGGAGCTCTTACAAGGCAAGGGAAGCTTTGTTTGTTGGTGGAAAATGACCATCAAGTTGAGAGAGAAAACTGGTGAAATTTGAGAAGGTGGCTAACTTGTCTTATGCAAATAAACATGGGAGTGAGACTGTTTTTTTAGTGAAAAAAATGTGATTGGGAGGAGACAAGTCAACATAAATACTTGTGAAGCTGCAGATCTGAGTGCTTCCAGGTCTCTAGACAGAGCCTTTCTAATACTGAGGGTCTGCTCTCCAGACAGTGAGACCGAATTTGATTCTTGGTGTCTGAGGGTATAGTGGGACTCGCAGGAATAAGGGACACTGTGTAGGTGTTTTAGAAAATTGAAGCATGTTCTAACTGTAGGGCAATTGCACAAACACATTCCTGCATTGGTCATTACTTGCTCAACATACCTAAGAGACCTACCTCTAGAGATGAAAATAATATAAACGGCTATTTAATTACTCAGTTGCAATGCATGGGTGCAGTTGCTGTGTAGCCCTATGATGTTACTTGATTAAAAAGAAAATTAGCAATTTTTCTTTAACTAACGTGAGAGGTTAAACCTAATGAAAAGTTGCTCTGATATTTTTACCTAGTGTCCTTTGTATGACCAGTGACAAGGGAATATGACCATCACACAGTATATTACCGAGAAAAGACGGTACTTAGCTAAAGGCAGAGATCAGAGAGGGAAAGGGAGAAGAGAAAGGTAGGAATAAAATACAGTGTTCCATTATTCTTCCTAGTCCTTATCCCTCCACTCTTCAGTCAAATAGTGAGAAAAGACATACAATCTCTGACCACCCCCTCCCCACCACACCATGTGTCCATTCACAACCCAGATCCATCCTAACAACAAAGTCATAATGGGGCTGAAGCAGCCAGCAATGCCAACTGCAACCAGCTGGCAATTGCAGTGTGTGCAAACGAGTGTCATTTGTGCAATGCACTCTGTCTAAGTGATGATGTAAGTGGCTGTTGGGAGAGACTAGTTCTTATACAGGACCGTGAAAGGCCAGAGACTTCTAGAAAACCCCAGTGGATCTATAGAGACCTGAGACAGCCATGCATGTTTACCTGGGGAGCCTGCCAGAGAGTCCCCTCTGCTGAAGGCGAAGGTACGAGACACAGAGATGGGCACTAGAGAGTCAAGGACCAAAGGTATATGAGTAGTGAAGGAAGATACACACCAAAGGGGAAAGAGAGAGAGAGAGAGAGAGAGAGAGAGAGCAAAGTAGCGAGACAGTCTGTTCCTGGATCTTCACACACAGCTTCACATTTTTCTGCAAAAAAAAAAAAAAAAAAAAGAACCTTGCCTTTGAAAATGTGAGAGTCATATCTGCTTATAATGTCACTCTCTGGAAAGACAAAAAAAAAAACAAGCAAATGGATCTTGCTGAAGGTATTCTACAATAATCAGTGAGTAGCAGAGGCAGCACCCCAGTGGAGAGCAGGGAAGCAGCCTTCTCTGACATGCTCCACCTTGAGCTAGCAAACCTGTTCTAGCACGGCACCGGCACCGTGTTCACACCGGGCTCTCCCAGCTGCCTGTGACTCCTACTTAATGGCAGGTCCTCAGAGGCTCAACAGCCAAGTGCATGCTCCTGCCAGGCCTATCCTCAAGGAAGCTGGATCCTGCTCAGGACTCCTAAGTGCTCTTCCTGTGGTCCCAGTGCTGGTGAGAAAGTGCGTTGCCAGAGGATGCGAACAAAGCTACAGCAGCAAGCCCATAGCTTTAATGTGAATTAATTGGATGAGTTAAATCACAGTCACTTTGTAGGAAGTAGAAATACTTGGAGGCATCTCTCCTTATTCCCTTTGCTCTCTTTTCCTTTCCCTACAGAGTTGAATATGGTGCTGGTTATCACTTGGGAATGGTGTGTGTGTGTGTGTGTGTGTGTGTGTGTGTGTGTGTGTGTGTGTGTGTAGGAGTGTCTTGCAACTACACAGGCCTCTTCCTGTCTTGATCTTGACCAGTGGGAATCTGTATCCACCCAATCTGGTTATTCCCAGCTCTCCCACGGAGCTGAACGGAGGTAAAGGCATGCTAAATTAGGAGCTCCTGTGTGTTTCTCTTCTGTACTACAGGACTTGTCTCTGAAATTACCTGTCTATGCTGGGAAGCGCAAGAGGGGAGCTTTAGAAGCATTGATTCTGACATGAAAAGTTAATGAATATTTGAGTAGGCCTATCTTATTAGATACCCCACAGTGTCGAGAAGAATCTAGTTGTTCTTCAACTAAATGTGTGCATCATCAAACAGGGGAGATTTGTTCTCTCCTCACTGCATAACCCTTAGGCACCTGCTCCTCCTGGACATTTGTTAATGCTCAGAACTGTGGAGAAGGAAAGACAGTTGAATGTTTACCTTTAGTTAACCAGTTTTAAAGGAGAGATGAGTATTGAAAGTTCACTCCTGTCTTTTTGATAAAACTGAAGGCGTGTGTGTGTGTGTGTGTGTGTGTGTGTGTGTGGTCAAAACAGACTTTGAAGTTATGGCTTCATTTGCTGGGCTAGAGCTGTACCACTGAGCTGTGCCTCTAGCCCTTTTTTGCCCTGGTTATTTTTGAGATAGAGTTTTGTCTGTCATGGACTACTTATTTATGGATCCCATGAAGCTAGGATAATAGGCTTTTATGACTTTATCCAGCTTTCAGTTGGGAAGGGATTTACAATCATTTTTGCCTATGTTGGCCTCCTCCCAAGGAACTAGGCTTATAGGTGTGAACTACTGGCTTCAGCTTTAAGTGAAGGAGTGTGTCAGAAAGAACTAGAAGTAGCAAGAAAGGAAAAGAGGAATCTATAAAACATTTTCCTCCTCCTCCTTCTCCTCCTCTTCCTCGTTATTATTATTATTTTAAAGAAAGAAGGACCTCTAACATGGGTGGGCTAGGGAGCCTGATAAAGCCCTTTCTTTCTCAGAGTTCCACCTCTTTTTTCCTTCTCCAAGAGCTAAGTTGGGACCAGCACATCCAAGAGCAGATCCTAACATGATGGGTGGTAGAAATCTCTTTTTGGAAGTAAGGTTTACTCTGCCCTGGAGCCTGGCCCTCACTCATCCAGTGTTCTCATACAGAAAATCGGTGCTTTGCGCAGCAACCTTGCTAAGCGTTGTTGGCCTATATATGTGTCCCTGAGTACCATGGTTGTTTGTTTGTTTGTTTAATTTTACAAGATCTCGGGCTGGGAAGGTGGCTCAGTGGTAGAGTGCTTGCCTTGCATGCATGAGGCCCTGGGTTCGATTCCTCAGCACCACATAAGCAAAAAGAAAAAAGCCAGAAGTGGCGCTGTGGCTCAAGTGGTAGAGCGCTAGCCTTGAGCTGAAGAGCTGAGGGATAGTGCCCAGTCCCAGAGTTCAGGCCCCACGACTGGACCCAAAAAAAAAAAAGAAAGAAAAAAAAAAAGATCTCCTTCAACTTAAGTTCTATAATCCTGTGGATGTGGCAGGTACTTAGCCTTCATCTCAGTCACCTACTGGGTTAGGAAGGGAATTCACGCAGTAACTGTTTCACTATTTCCAAATAACAATTGCATTCCATCTAAAATATATATTCCCTGCGTTGTGTGCACACAGGGATGTCCCTAGGTAAGTCCTTGGCTTGCTGGATGGCTTGGTGCAAATAATGTACTTGTTCTCATTCTAAAATGGCATCTAGGTTGTTATATCCTAGGAACTCTGACATCCTGTTCTGGAATCCACTGACAAATCCCAATCTAAAGCCTTGTGTAAGAGCACTTTATGAGGAGAGGAAATACCTAGCCTGCATGGTATTAAAGTGGCTACTTGTCAACACTAACTGCTGCAAGCAATGCAAAATTCAGGCCAGTGAATCAAAAAGAAGATGTAGAGAAATAATTCTCTGTGTATCACACTTAGATCACCATGAATGTCATGCCCTCTAAAAAACAAGCACAATAACTGTACACAGAGAACAGCAAGAAGGAATAGCACAGAGGGCCAGAGCAAGCCAGCCATTATCCCTGCGCCAGTCCGCACCAGCAGCATGCATGGGCAGCTGACACACATCCCATCCCCAGCTGAGAGGTAGCAAGCAAGGGCCGTGCCACAGATTGCAGCAACCTCCCACTTCATCCCCAACCTCCTCATCATCACGGCTACCTGAGGACACCACCACAGGTACAGTAATGGCACAGCAGAGTTTTTAGGTAAAGGCCAATGATGAATTACTACTGCTGAGAAGGAAAGAGCGCACACATCGCTTGCCTGCATTCCCTGGAAGGTGGCAATTAATGGCGCCGCACTCACACCTCGATGCCCTCCCTCCCTCCACATTCATCACCTGTGCAGAAGCAAAGCAGACACAGCAAACATTCCAGACGCACAGAACCTAAGCCCCCAAGGTCTGTGGGTACCTGGGAGGAGGCAGTGTTCCTGGCAGGGCATTACAGAGAGGCTGCCAGTATTTGAGTTAGCCCAGCCCAGGTTCAAAGTGCGTGGGTTCAGACCCCCAGACAGGGCTGAGGCAGGACCATGGTGGGGAGGACGAGGAAGGGGTTTGAAAGATACATACGAAAGACGGAGGATCCAGCCAGACTTCCGACCTTCCGTACATCATTATCTAAAGACAGAGGGATGCAGTGGGTTGGTTTCAGAGACAGTTCAAAAATCTCTCTACTTCCACTCTACACTCCCTCCCGCCCCCCCTTCCCACTAGCACCAGTGATCCCTATAAAATGCAGGAAGTCAAAGGGGAAAGCTAAGTAACTTGTCCCTTCAGACTGGAAAATACATTCATTACCCCTAACAATGGACAATGTGATTTGCTTTTCCCAACTTACACTTTCCTCATCTAAAGCCACTGTTATAGACATTTAACAGAGGCAGAAACTAAAGCCAAGGAAGTTTAATGGCTTGTCCAGGGTCCGTAACAGAGGTTAAAAGAAGAGTTACGATTTGAGCCCATATGCTTTTCCTGAGATCCTCTGCTCCCCCGATAAGCGATGGCTTGGGAACAGGAATACCTGAGCAAGCGGTGGTCATGATGGCTGGTACTCCATAGTAGGTAAAGGCTCCATTCTCAAAGCGAAGGCCTTCCTTACCGACCTCTACCTCCACTTTACCCTGCAGATAGACGCAGCATACCAGGGCTACGTGAGCACTTCCAGGTCTATTATTAACTAGTACCAAGCACTTTTACTTGTGTAACACATAGATTCACATTTTGATCACAGAGCAAACAATGTGAGTCCTGTTTTAGATATGTATTTCACAAGGAGTATTTTCAACTTTATTTTTTGAGACAGGATCTTGTTATGTAGCCCAAGCTGGGCTACAACTTTTCATCCTCTTACCTCGGCTTCCTGAGTGCTGGGGTTATATGCATGCACTATTACACTTGGCTAAGAAGTAAGACTTTTTTGTTTTTGTTTTGTACTGAGATTGAATTCAGAGCCTAACAGATATTAGTAGAGTGCTCTATCATTTCAACTAAATCCCCAGCCCTGTAGCAAATTCATTTTTTCATTTTCCTAAAGCACCATTTAGTTATAAACAAGCAACCTTTCCTTGAACACAGTAATGATTCTTCTAGAACATACAGGGCTTCATACACTACTCCACCATCACAGTCGGAGATTAGTCCATTTCCAAATGTTGTTGAGACAGAATCCAATCTCTGATGGAGCTTGCTGAATTCCTATAGTAACAGCTAATGTGAGCACATTAGCTGCATGTAATGTACAGTGTGAGCAGATGGCTCTGACACTATCAGATGCACTGTGTTGACTTGCATTCGGTCAGCCCTAGGAGCCCATGGGATCTGTAATGTTTACCACCAGTTTACCAGTTTACAGATGTATCAACTTTGAGGCTCAGAAGAATCATTTGGTCAAGGTGAGTTGGGAAATAGCAACATTGGGATTTTTAAAGACAAATCTTTACAATTTCTGAGACTATGCATTTCAACTATACTTTATTCCTTTCAGATTTTATTTGAAAACTAAGGTATTTCCCCCCCAAATTTTATTAAGCATAAGATAAAGGATTGCATGGGTTCATTACATTATATCGAGAGTAGAACAGGACCCATCTCAATTTCTAGCAGTGAGGAAGGTGACTTCGTTTTTGGAGAGGCTGAGCATTTCACTGAGGCTATTTGGAAGGAGGTATGTGGTGTCGGACAGGAGAGGCTGGGGTGGAATTCAACAAAGAGGCATTTCTAAGTTAATATGAGCCTTATCAAGTTCTCAGAAACATCAGTGCATTTAGGCGCTAGAAGATTCTGCTGAGAAGAGACAAGGAGTCAGGGATGGATCTTATTCATGATGGTATGCCAGTGTGCATCTGACACTTAGGGTCTTGAGGAAGTCCTTACAGGGAACTCTTTCTTGCAACCACTGTCTCTCTTCCTAGTCTCTGGAAGCAGGGAGATATAGTGAAACAGATAATGAATATACTTCACCTGTCTCCAAGGACCAGTGAAGATGACTGAGAAGGTGAGAGTTCAGCTCCACAGAGGAGGCCTTGAGCAAGAAGGATCTAAAGTTTAGGTGGTGGTGGACAGGCCTACTTCAGGGAATAAACAGCTGAGCTATCAGGTATCCACAGGACAGTGCTTTTGGGAGTTCAGAAAAAGAATTGCTTTGCTAGGGAGTTAGTCTCTCACCCTAACCCAAATGGCTGAATGGTCAGACTCTCAGCCATCAGAGAGGCTCTCAGGACACCAGCCTTCCATGCCCAGGCTCTTCCTGTGAGCCACACAACTGGCCTTGTTCCCTTCTCCCCCCACTGCCAAGGAAGCCAGAATCTTGGCACCAGGCACCGAGGGAAGCAACCACTTCCCCTTTATGTGGGAGATGCCCTCTTGGTGCCCAGGTTCTCTGACTCCACCACTCACCTGCAGAAGCAGCACAAAGTAGTCCACAGGGCGGTTGCGCTGGTAGAGGTAGTGTTCCGGGGCCTTCTTGTTCCTCTCATCAAACTTCAGCTCCTGGATCACATTGGGATGTTTCAGAAGCCGGAGCAGGATCTTCTCCGAAAGGTACAGGGATTTAAAGGGCTCCACTTCTAGAGGACAGAGGGAGGCAGCAGGAATCAGCACCTCTCAGACCTGTTCATCCCACAGCGGCAGCTGGGAAGGGTGAGAGGGGGAGCAGCTGAGGACATCTAGAATGTACCTTTGCATGCTCCTTGGCACCAGGCTGGGAGGGGCTTCTGCCTCCCCCTGGGATGAGGGAATTTTAAACCCAAATAGGCATCTCAGGGCTTTTCCCTGCCCTCTGAGGATGTGTCCACTTTCATTCATGTCTCAGGAGAACTGGCCACCATTTTGGAACTCTCCCTTTTTATACTAATTTTCTCTCTGATTATATTTAAAGTTGGGCATAGATAACTAAGCCATGTAGACAGCAAAGATTTTAACAGTACAACAGACTGAAATACAGAGAATTGGATCCAGCTTATTTGCACGGGATATGTCTAAAATCCAAGGTTAGTGGAGGCAGTTAATTAGCGAAATGGTAAGTTTCAATAATGTGAAGTCTCACTGTATCAACATTTATGAATTAATAGGTATTCATATAATAATGCTTACATAATTATATTAAACAGATATAGGTGCTTTGCTCTGGAAATTAGCCATTGGTTCGCAGAAACCTGAGCCTGGCATGGTGGCTTTAATTCCAGTATATGGGAGGCTGAGGCAGACTAGCCTGGGCTACTAAATGAGATCCTAGCTCCACAAAACGAAAACATCAATTGAAAATAAAAAAGAAATCTACATTCATAATTAAATCACATGTTGACAACTCTAAGGAGGTCCTACCTTCAAATGTCTTACATTTTTATTAGCTCCTGGAAAAGAACTAATTAGTACCCATTACACACTCAATAAATATGTTGCATTTTATTAACTATTGGACATGTGATAAATAAGATCACTCTGGGTCAACATATTAATTGGGCATGGACAAGTGGGTCAGAGAGTTGAAAGACAAACTCTACTTTTTTCTTAAAGAATGTAAGGTCTCTCATCTTTTCTAAGTCCTTAAGACTTACAATCTCTCTCTCTCTCTTTTTTTTTTTTTTTGCTGCCAGTTCCAGGGCTTGAACTCAGGGCCTGGGTGCTGTCCCTGAGCTTTTTTGCTTAAGGCTAAGGCTCTACCACTTAAGCCAAAGCTTCATCTCTGTCTTTTTTTTGGTAATTTATTAGAGACAGGAGTCTCATGAACTTTCCTGCCAGGGCTAAGCTTTCAATCATGATCCTCAGATCTCAGCCTCCTGAGTATCTATGATTATAGGCATGAGCCACTGGTGCCACACTTTCATAGACCACTTTTTTATTTGAAGAACATGTGGTTCACAGGCCTCTACCTCAGGGTCTTGTCAGTGCATAGGACGATGCTTTGGGACCTGAACTTGAACTGTAGGTCCAGAGAATGATCTTGGACTCCAGCAGGGAAGCAGGTAGGGGTAAATTACAGCAGTGGTTTCTTTAGCTTTTTCCTCAAGCAGTAGAAAGAGTGGAGTTGTACTCACTTCTAGTGAAGACAATAAACCTGAGGCTCATTATGGTAGTATGTGGTATGCTGTCATCCTGTTACCCAATAGAAGGTTCTGCTTGGAACAGTGATTCTCAGTGCCAGCCAGATGTTAGAATGGGGTTGGAAGATATAATATGTATGGGGCCTGGTGCCACCCTAGATCCTGCTAGAATCCCTCTAGGGTGGAGACTGGAGGGGGGTGAGGGAGACCTTACCTGTGGCCATGAAGCGGTGTGTGGCCAACAGAAGCTGCGGGGAGATCTTTACTCTCATCTCCGAGTCGGAAAGCTTGAACAGGGAGAAGTCATGCCGCTTCCTCTCCCGGTGTGGGACCCTCTGTTTCTTCCGATTGTCAGCTGCAGTGTCACAGGAGACAGATTGCAAGCCATCTCAGAATCATTTTTGCTGGGCTTGGATGTTTTCCCATGGAAAATGGCTCACTTCAGTACATGTGTAACAAAGAGAGGGCTAGGAACCATGTCTTCTACTCTCACCAGTGAGTAATCTTTTGACTTGTATGACGTTTGCCTACATGTCCCCTTCCTTTCCCCCATAAGACTGTCACTTAACATCTTTATCATTCCAGAGGCATTCCTTCCACTTCCTCCCTTCATTCCACTGATGTGTGTGTGTGTGTGTGTGTGTGTGTGTCTGTCTGTCTGTCTGTGTATGTGTGCACGCGTGCGCGCCAGTCCTGGAGCTCAAAGCATGAGTGCTGTCCCTGAGCATTTTTGCTCAAAGCTAGTGCTCTACCACTTGAGCCAGAGCTCCACTTCTGGCTTGATGGTGCTTAATTGGAGATAAGAGTCTCACAGACTTTCCTTTCCTGTGAACTGAGATTTTTTTTCAGCCTTCTAAGCAGCTAGGATTACATGCATGAGCTACCATTGCCTGGCATTCCTTTGATTTTAACAGTGGATGTTTGGAACATTAAGGTTGTTCAAAGGCCTGCTAGTTTTTGTCAAGGCCTCGCCTACCTTTAAGTTTGGTTCCTTCTTGGTGCAAAGGGAAGGTGGAGTTTTTTCTGTTTATTTTTTCTGCCTTAGGATATCAAAGCTTTTGGCTACCAGGAGCCAATTTCTGAAAGGTTGCTTCTAGTAAACTAGTAAACTAAGGACTTTTAACTGAAAGGAATGGCTGTGCCAGAAGATGAAATTCAGATGAAATACTTCCTGGTCTTGGAATCTCCTTCCAGGCAGACAACATGCATTTGTAAATTTGGAAAACAATGCTTTGAAAAGGCTCAGTAGCCCAAGCACCCCTGTCTGCAGAGAGAAGTTCAGGTTGCTCCTGAGAGGCAATGGAGATGAGGGGAAAGAGCAGGAAACAATGATAGGAGCCAGGCAAGGGCTTGGCCCAGGGATTTGGGTTGAAATTTGAAATTTGAAAATTTGAGAAACTCGGAGGGTTTGCTGAAAGGCGGGAGGGAAAAGAGCTATATGCAGGATGGCACATTGATGGTTTTGGCTTGGGTGGGGTGAGGGCAATGTCCGGCCATCTCCCTTGTTCAAGGACCCCTCAGTGTGAGTAGTTTTAAGGGGAGCTGAAGTCTGTATCCAGCGGAGATGACACAGGAGAAACATGGGGCAGAAATAAGGGTAGAAAAGCCTCTGCTCCCTGCCCCGCCCCCCACTTGGGGAACCCAGTGTTTTATTTAGTCCCCTTTCCATCCAAAAGCCAGTAGATCTCCTTTTCCTGGTCTTGGCTCTGTTTCTGGAAGATTCCTTCTGAGAACACTTGGCTAGTATGTTCCCAGTGACTCAGGGTGATTTGATGTAGGACATCATGCTGTGGCATCACAGGGCAGAGGTGGCTGGTACACATCAGCATGTGGGGCTTTCTCTGGCAGCCTTTCACACTGTGTGCCAAACCAAGTCATGCTGAGACTCTAAGGGGGAAGTCAGATGGCTGTGGAACAGCCAAGGCCTCGCACTTACTGTAGAGGTCAGTTTCATCCAGGATCTCCGACTTGATGATCTCCTCTATGATGTCTTCCAGTGTGACAATGCCCATCACCTCATAGAAGGGGTCCCCTTCTCCTTCATTATTCACACGCTGCACAATGGCCAGGTGAGATTTTCCTGGAAAAGCAAATGAAACCATTGTGATCCATCTGGGATCATTAAAAGGTTTTCCCTTGTGACAAGATGATAAAAGCTTCTGTTTGGCTGGTACAACGACTAAACTCATTCTAGGACCACCTAAAACTCTGAAATTCATATGCAAGCCTGAATAAATGCAAACCTTACACTTTATATGATTGTGTATTGCTTAATGATACAGCAGGTTCTCAGACATTGTTGTTCACAAGGCTATTTGAACACCCTAGACTGTAACTATGTAAACTAAGATGGCTGCCACAACCCTAGGCAGAATAATCATATGGTATTATTATGATATATGCAGTCTACTGTTGACTGCAGCATCATGATGTGGTGCTTGTATTTCATAACATTAATGGACACCTAAAGTGTGCTATTTACATAGTACAGTGTGAGATTTCAGTCCATTTGAAACAGGTGGCAGGAAATCTACCTATACTGGGCCACCCGGGGCATTGCTCAGGTTAATGATAAGCTTTTATTGGAAGCACCTGTTGGAAGTTTATTTTTTCCTTCATGCTGACATGTTGGGGGCTGTGGAGAGTTCATTCTCTAAATGCCAACTGCTTGGCTCTTTCCTAGGCCCTGCCCACTTTGAGTGAAGGACTGACAGTCCCAGTAGGCAGGTGAACAGTCCTCAGCTGGACTGCCAGCATCTAAAAACACTCTGAACCCAAAGCATGACTCTGGCTCCAGAAGGCACTGCCCTGACAAACAGGGCTTTTGCCACCATGAGCCTGGATGAACTCTAAAAGACTGCAGCCCCTTCTGCCCAAGCCAGTAGGGGAGCACTTCCTTCCCTTGGTGGCCTAGTAGTAGGCCTGAAACTGGTCAAACACAAGCCTTCATTTACATAAGGGACTGCTATGAGTGGTTTTAAGGACTCTGCAGTGATTGGTGCCAACACAATCCTTCATTTGCATGAGGGGCCGGACTTGATTGACGCAGACAGCTTATGACACCTGCTTTCTGGGGACTGCGTGGCTTACTTTGTGAACAGCCAGAAGACCCTTTCCTGTGCTGCCTCCTAGTGTACAACACTAGGTCCAAATGAAGACTTTTCTTGAGTGGTCTTTCTTGCAGCACTGGGAAGAGAGGACATTGTACTGCCTAACAACCTAATAATAACAGTTCACATTGACCGAGCTCTATGTACCAGGCACTATCTGGAGCACTTTACATGTGTTGACTTATTTACTTCTTATGCAGCAACTCTATTTACAGATTGAAAGAACCGAGGCATGGCTTGGTGAAGATACACACCCAAAGTTGCACAGCCTACAACAGACATAGCTGGATGGTGGGTGAAACCTGGTGACTGTTGTTAGTCCTAACCTATGACCTGAAGGCTAATATAATGGCCTTACTTCATGTCAGTGTGTTTTCTCTGCAGTATAGATAAATTTCCCAGCCCTATCTCTGAAATGCAAATCTTTTTCTTGGTTATGAGGCATTTCAGGAGAAATCTGGAGTACTGACTCAGATGCTTTTCTTGCCAAAAGAAGAAAACAAAGGAAGTCCATGCTTCATCAGCTTTTCTTGGCCATTGTTAAAAGTAGCCCACACAAGGGACAGTCAATCTGCCAGATGCATAATTAACTATTAAAAATTCACCATGTAGCTACCCTTTGGGAGTTTGAACTGAACTTGGAAAGATGACTTAAAAAAAATCACATAGCATTTCTTCACACTTTCAGCTGTGTCTTTGTCCTGTTTCTATACTCATCCGGTCATGTCATGGCCTTGTCCCCAAACCCTCTACCCCAGCTCCCTAATGCCTGCAGAACTGAGTCCCAACTCAATCATTCGTTAGACTCAAGGTTGCACAACATCTCTCTTCCTTGTCTGTATAACTGCATGCCCTGCTACATCCCCTCAGAGGTCTATACTCTACGTTCCTGCCACTGCCTCAGTTTTCCCCAAATGCCATTCTGAGTCTTAGCTTGCACTGTGGCCCACCTTCAGTATTAGTTCAGGTATCAGTTCCTCCAAAAAAACTCTCCTTAGATTGGCCCCATTCAGAACTGGAATCAACTCCCACCCCCTTTGCCTGGTGGTCCTAAGCCTTTGATAACTCCCTAAGAGCATTTATCACAATTTACCACCTACTCCTTATAGGTACTCTATACTGGACAGGTTGGTTTCTTCCTTAGATCATGAGATCCCAAGGACAAAGGATTACATACTAAAATGGGCTCCTTCATATAGCAGACAGCTAATTAGGACCTGATAAACTAAACTTAGCAGAAAATAAAAACTCATAGTTGGTATGATTGATGATATTAAAAGGGGTATTAGAAGTGTTTTTTTTAAATTATAAGTGTGTGGAGGTACACACCTGTAAGTCCAGCTACATAGAAGATAAAGGTAGGAGGATTGTAGTCTGAGGCACACCCAGGCAAAAACATAAAAATATGAAAAAAAAACCTTATTAAAATCTAAAAGGGCTAGGGGCACGACTCAAATGACATCATAGCAAGCATGAGGTCCTGACTTCAACTCCTCCCTCCCCCAAACCTTGTATTTTGGTTGAATACTATTGTTTTAAATTAAATTTTAAGCCCTGCACCAGTGGTTCTAAAATTATCCTTAAAAAATGATCACATCCTCCCCAATTGGACTGAAGTCCTAGCTTAAATTAGATTATGTTAATTGTTACAATGTGTACAATTTAACGGTTTTTTTGGTTTTGTTTTAAATTTCCAACACATTTTTCTTAAGCTTATGCCACCTGTTCTCAGTTTTCTGGTAACATGTGCTAGCAGATGATAAAACAAATGACTAATACAACGGAAGAACTTGGGAAAGGGGAGTTCTTCAATAAGAACTTGGGAAAAGGAGTTCTTCAATGTTTTGTATTCAATAGTTGGATGTTTCTTTTTGTAATATGGAGTCCAGAAAACACATACCATAGTCACATTCTCCCTCCATTAATGATTAGTACATACGATAAGACTAAAGTAACAGGTTTTGCTGTTATGCAGAGTACTGTAACTTCCACATGAAAAAGCACAACTATTTAATACTTTATATAGTCAGTCTGAGGCTATATGAAGCAACAGCTTTAAGGTCTTCATATAATATTCAATATAAGACAATGTTCTGTGTAATTCATCTAGAAATATTCCATAATCAGTGCACTTTTGTGTGTGTGTGTGTGTGTGTGTGTGTGTGTGTGTGCCAGTACTAGGGCTTGAACTCAGAGCTTTGCACTCTTACTTTTTACAATTGAAGTTAGCAGGCTACTTGACCCACACCTACACTTGTGGCTTTTTGCTGGTTAATTGGAGACAAGAATCTTCAGATTTGTCTGCCTGTGACAGCTTCCAATCTCAATCACAGAATGGTAAAATCAAGGCACTGGTGACTCACGCCTATAATACCCTAGCTACTCAGAAGGCTGAGATCTGAGGATTGTGGTTCAAAGCCAGTGTGGGCTGACAAATTCAAGAGACTCTTCTTATCTCTGACCAGGAAAAATCTGAAAGGAGAGATGTAGCTGAAGTGGTAGAGTGCCCACCTTTAGTGAAAAAGCTAAGGGACAGCTCCTAGGCCTTGAATTCAATCCCCAGTGTTAGCGCGTATGCACACACGCACGTGCACGCGCATACACGTAATATACAACTCATTCAATGTACATATAAAATTCTTAACTTTATGAACTCAATAACTCCTGGGTGCTAGAGAGACAGCTAGATGCAGAAGGATGAAGTTGGATTACATCATATAAAAAAAGATTTAAAAATGGACCTAAAAATCTAAATGCAAGCATAGAGTGATTAAAAAAAAACTTGTAGAAGAAAACACAGAAATAAAATTTTTGACCTTAGAATAGGCAACGGTTTTTTAGCTAAGACAGCATAGATACAACCAATCAAAGAAAAAACCCCAGATAAATTGAATGTCATGAAAATTAGAAACATCTATACATCAAAGGATGTCATCAACAAAGTGAAGACAACTCACAGAAAGAAAGAAAATTGTTGAAAATCACCAGATAAAGGACTTGTATCCAGAATATATAAAGAAATATTACAACTCATGAAAAAAACACTCAAAGGTAGACAAAGGATTTAAGGAGATATTTCTCTAAGAGAGACACATAATTGGTCAACAAACACATGAAACACCTTTTAATCTCAAGCATCCTCATCATTAGGGAAATTCATATAAAATGTGACTGAGAAACCACATTGGGGTGGCTATAATAAAAATGAAAACAATAAAAGTTGGGGATTATGTGGAAAAAATTAGGATCCTCAGTCACTGTTGGTAATTTCTGGATATCTTTTAAAATGTTAAACATAAAATGATCATATGATCCAACAATTCCACTCCTAGAGAAATTAAAACACATGGCCAGCATTATTCATGATAGCAAAAATGTAGAAATAACCCACATTTCCAAACAAATAAAATGTGGTATATTTGTACAATGGAATATTAGATGGTCATAAAATTAGACAAATGTTGAAACCATTATTATGAAGTGAAATAAGGCAGACACAAAAGGCCACATGTTGTACGATTCCATTTATGTGAGATTTCCAGAACAGACAAATCTACAGAGGAATAAAGGAGACTGGTGCTTGTGGAGAACTGAGAAAGAGAATGGGAGTGATAGCTGCATACCTCCATGAATATAGTAAATGCATTTTAAGCATTTTTGATTTGTGAATTATACTTCTATGAAGTTACTACTGGTACTGGATTTGGACTTAGGTGTGTTGCATTTTCACTTGGCTTTTTCAGCCAAGGCGGGTGCTTTACCACTTGAGCCATACCTCTACTTAATCGGAGATAAGAGTCTCATGGACTTCTCTGCTTGGGCTGGCTTTGAATTACGATCCTCAAATCTCAGCCTCCCTAGCAGCTAGGATTACAGGTATCCCACCAATGCCTGGCAAAGTAATTAATTTATTTTTTTAAAAAAAGCCACCTGAGCTGAATGCTGGTGGCTCATGTCTGTAATCTTTAGC